AATGTCTTTTTGAATAAAGAAAGCCCTCTTTTTCTAATCTGGAAAAAAAAATCAGCGTCCTTGAAAAACAAGTTTTATTTGTTTCTGTCTTAAGACAGGTCTTGCTATGTATTCCAGGATGGCCTTAAACTCACAATCCTCCTGCCTCTACTTTATAAGTGTGGGAATTAGAGGCATGTAGCACCACACTCAGCTAAAAAGCAAGTGTTTATGGAAGATTTGGTTGAGTTGGACACTAAAGAATGAGTAGGGTTAGGATATGACCATTGTGGGGAAAATGAGTAAGCTTATGGCAATTAGTTGGTGTCAGATTGTGATAGGCCTAGAAATTCAAGTTTCCATGGTTTGGGGGAACCATTGGTGATTTAGAGTAAGGGAGTATCTTAATGGGGTTATTTATGAACACTTAGCTTTGCAGCCATGACTAGTAAAACAAGAGGAAGAGAATGGAGTTGGAAAGTTCAGGAAGGAAGGAAGAGCAGGGTAATAACTTTAGAGTCATTCCTTAATGGTATCTACTAAGCTAATTACCAAAATCTTATTGATTCTTATATTACCTTCAAACTATCTCTTCTGTGTATTACATTACTCATCCAGGGAACAATTTTTTTCCGGGCAGATTTGACTGGAAAACAGATGTCATTGACATGGACAAAGAAGTTGGAGAATGAGTTTGCTTTTTTTTTTTGGACATATTGGAATTGTGGTAATAGCAGAATGTTCTAGTATTAAAGTAAAGTGGAGCTGGTTTATTTCAACATGACTGGAAGGGAATTTCTACAGAACAGTGTGGATTTGGAGAATCTAACCAAAATCAGATAAAGCACAGAAAAAAAATGGAATGTATTTTCTCACTCTCTTTTGATGTCTAATTACTATGTGGGAGCTGAGTATATTTGCATCATTTGTATTTCCTTCAGCTGGCAATATGAGGAACAATAAATGGTATTGTGATGGAAATGTTATTTAAGTTTGTTAAACTAAAATAAAAATAAATGAGTAGGGAGTGAAAAATGCTGGAAAACGTGGGTAAATATTTTAGCTTTGGGAGGATGTGATTTGAAAAACTTGTATCTATCATGTAATTGGATTTGGTGAAAGGATTTATGGCCAATATAAATGATGCTGGGAAAGTTCTAAGAAAATAGTTTTACTATTTGGAAGGGAAACAGGCCTTCAAAGAGGAGACCACCTTCTCATCCACCCATAAAATCTGGAAGACTCCACCCGACCACCGAGGTTGCAATGTTCTGTCTTGCAGACGAACCCTTGCCTGAGTTTCTTTGGAAAAGTGATTTGAAAATACTGGCCCTGTTTCTCCATTACTGGAGTACCCCTCTCCCCCTCACCTTTTGGGTTCTCTCCCTTGACTTTTATCTCTTCCTCTTATGCCTTTTTGATAGCAACTATAAAGCAATGGTTATGAAATGGCTATAAAACTTTTATTTGAAGCAGAGATGATTATGTGGTTTGGGAGGGAAGGAGAAAAGGACTAAATAAAAGGAAGTGACTCTAAGCTGTTAAAAGAAAGAGAAGATTGTTAATAGCAACATCTTGATTTTGTTAAAGAGACAAGCTAAAGCCATCCCAAGCAGGCAGGGAAGAAGGCGGTAATAGGAGAATGTGTTTCATGGACAAAGGAGAGACAGCAGGGGAGAGGAGCTCAAGGGGAGAGGCAAACATTAGGAAGAGGGTACAGAGAGACCACTAATCCCTCTGAATCACCAGTGGGCACATAGGGCCACGTGAACTCCTTGCAACTTCAAGCTGGTCTCAAAGTGGATCAAGAGGAATGAGAACAAAAGAAAAGTTCACTCTGAGTTCCTTTTGTCAGAGCAAGGGAAATTGCTTTGAGGTCAGGACTAAAAGGTGGTAATGGCAGAAAGTAGAACCGACTTAAAGGGGAAAAAATAATAAATATAATAATGTCAGGTCACTGGGAGCTTGAGTAGCATAAAGTGAGGTAAAACCACCATTGTCAAGACAATCTGCATAGGTCCTGTCAAGTACTGCAGTGTAAATCACTTCAAACCAGTACTCGGCTAGCTAAATTCCAAGGATAATGCTTTGACTAGTGTAAGAATATTTGCTCATTTAATAAATAGTAATTGGGGTTTCACTGTGCCTGCCAGGACTTAAAAGTCTTTAGTTTTCTCACTCAAGGCTGGCTGCAGTTATACCACTTGAGCCACACCTCCACTTCTGGTTTTTTATTGGTTACTTGGAAATAAGGGTCTCATGGACTTTTCTGCATTGGCTGGCTTTGAACCATGATCCTCAGATCTCAGCTTCCTGAGTAGCTAGGATTACAGATGTGAGCCACTGGAACCTAATTCCAATTATGGTATTTTAAGAAATGATTTTATATTAGCATATAACAGTTGTACAAGGGAGTTTTCAATACAAGATTCCATATATGCATACAATGTACCCTTTCATCTCACTCCAACTCTCCTTTATCCCCTTCCCCCCTTTTTCAAACAATTTCAATTGGTTTCATTGTTCTATTTTCATACATGCATAGGAAGTGTTTCCATTATATTCATCCTCATTCACCCTCTCCATTTACTCTCTCACTCCCACTAATCACCCATGTGGTTTGTAAGAATCCTGATTTTCAGCTTCTCTTGAAAATACTGGAATAGTTAACAGCCCTGGACCCACAAGAACTAATAAAAGTGGATAGTAGTTTTCCCATTTAGATGGAGCACTTGTTTTCCAGTGTGATGATGACCTCAACAGCCTACATTAGGGTGATCACATAACTTGTCCAAAGTAAGGCCCACTTAAGAGGAAAATATGTGTGTATGGGTGGGGGGAGCATTAGTAATTATACCTGGACCACAAGTATTAACCAGAATTGTTTTTTTTTTTTTTTTTGGGTCCGGCCATGGGGCCTGAACTCTGGGCCTGGGCACTGTCCCTCAGCTCTTCAGCTCAAGGCTAGTGCTCTACCACTTGAGCCACAGCACCACTTCTGGCTTTTTTTTCTTTTTGCTTATGTGGTGCTGAGGAATCGAACCCAGGGCCTCATGCATTGCAAGGCAAGCGCTCTACTACTGAGCCACCTTCCCAGCCCGACCAGGATTGTTTTGAGCAATGAGGATATATAATTATCGTATCACACTGGACACTCAGCCCTAACTCCAGAAATGCTATGAAGAAAGAAAATGTGTATAATGTGGAAGAGGCATAAAGGTTGTAGGAAAGCAGACACTTAAAAAAGATCCAAGTGAATGCCAATGATACCAAACCTTAAGTTGAAAGCAGGGACTCACTAGGGGATGGTTCAGATAGATGTCTGAACTTCTAGGCTCCCTGCCCTATACAGCACTGTCAGTTTTAATAAGCTGTAAGCCCTTAGCTACAAGCAAGACTAATCAAGCTTCAGAGAGCAGCCTGCTCCTAATCAGGAAGGCAGAGATAATCATTTAACAGTGAGGTCCAAGCTGCCTCTACAGAAAAAGAATTCCCCTGACAGTTACTTTACATTCTAGCCTAGTCCCTTCGATGGTTTTTGTTTGAATTTTTATTAAAATATTTTAATTATCCAGGTATTTGGTTTATAATTTGTGTGTGTGTTTATGCATGTCTGTCCTGGTACTTGCACTCAAGGCTTATGTTCAAGGCTAGTGCTCTTGAGCCATAGTTCCACTTCTGGCTTTTTTCGTAGTTTGGAGAAAAGAATCTCATAGACTTCCCTGTCAGTTCCAAGCAGGGATTCTCAATTCTCAGCCTCCCAAGTAGCTAGGATTACTGGCATGAGTCATTGGTACCTGGATGAGGCTTACAATTTTTTAAATTTGATAAGAGCCACATGCTTGCTAGGCAGGTACTTTCTACTGAGCCATGCTCCCAGTTAAAGTGTTTTAGAAAGACATTTTCTAAATGACATTTTGTTTTATGCCAGGGAATAAATCTATCTATCTCAAAACATATAGGAAACCTCAGACTCATTAATTACCTTAGTTCAAATTGACTGAAGCCCTCAAGTTCTTTTAATATTTTAATACTATTCAAGGTGTGGTTAAGGTCAAATTAGGACAGGGAGGAGCAATGAGGGGGCATGAAATGGTAACTAAAGTTAACATCTGTACAGCAGGTTACTATGGGCTACACTGCCAGCACCAGCTATTCCTAATAGAATATTTTCCTCATTTCTGTCCTTGATTCTCCCAGTCTCTTCAACATAGAAGTAAAAATAAGTAAGATTTTGGTTGTGTTTGAAGTTTTTATATGTTGATATACACACACACACATATATTCCATGCTAGCTTCAAACTTACCAGCCTCAGTTTCCTGAGACCTAGGATTACAGGTATGTATTCCCACACTTGGCCATAAGAATCTATTTAGTGTAATAATGGTTAATCATTGAGTTTTACTCAGATAAAGCTAGAATCTAGAGATGGACCCTTAGGGAAACTACTCAACTTGTCTGAAATTTCTAGCAGAATCTCAAGCAACCAAAATCAATCTTCCTGAAACTTAGCTCACAAGGTAAGAATAACATCATCTCACAGTCCTGCCGTATAGGTTATGAAGCTATGTATGCAAAGCACTTACTAAGTAATCAGCACTTTAGAAACATTCCAGAGTGTGGTTATTATTTTTATTCTGTACTAACAGGACCTTATGCCCATTAAACATAACTTAAAGAAACAGGTAATGTGACAAAAATCACAACATAATGTAAGTAAATTAAAAATATAACTGAGTATCTTTAATTCTGCACTTAACATGAAAGATGTTTAAATGAGGAACACAGATGGAATATAGAAATTTTTTTTTCTTTTTTGTTGGTCATGGGGCTTGAACTCTGGGCCTGGGCTCTATCCCTCAGCTCTTCAGCTCAAGGTGAGTGCTCTACCACTTGAGCCACAGTGCCACTTCCAGAAAATTTTCCCAAGACAAATCTCTAGAATATTATTAAAACTATGGAAATTTAATATTTTGTTTAATAGGCTTATTGCCATTTACAGAAAGCAAGACACAATGAGTTCTTTTTAACTTAAAATGTTTATTGACTATTGCCTTTAATAGGTTTTCTGTGTTAAGAAAGAGAAAACTTTTTTCAAATGTGCTAATAAGAAAAAGATCAAGGAAACTGAACAATGCTGAACAGAATCTCTAGTGCCTTGGACATAAATAAAAGATAAGTTTTATAGAAATTCATAGATATTGCCTAGTACTTCACATCAATGGGCTGGCAATGAAGAATAGTAACATATGAACAAGTACAAAAACAATTCATTTCAAGACAAATCCATGAGAACAGAAATTCTACCTTCCACAAGTATCCTTTGCCACTCATGGAGAAGCTATACAACTGACAACATAGTTTTTCACATAATGGCTAGACACGATGTTCAGTAACACCCACTAAAATTTGAAAAACAGCAAAATATAAAACAGTATGAAAGAAATATATTTCCTATTTTTGTAAAAAGATACCTTGATTTTTGCTTTTAATTAAATAAAAGCTATATATATATATAAATATACATGTGATCCTTATAAAAACTGACAAATACAGAAAGCACAAAGAAAATAAAAATTCCCTATATAACATCAAGAAAAATATTATAACAAAAATCATAAAATCAGAGTGGACCCTAGAAGGATGCCCCTTGCCTTGGGATCTTCTGATGCCAATTTACCAACCATTTCTAAAACCAGTCTAATCTGCTTAGTTTTAGATATATCTACTGGTGCCTGTCTCCTGGTGCTACTGCATTATTATGATTAGTTCAGGCCAGCAGTGTTAAAAAAAAAAAAAACAAGAGTAACAAGTATGACTAAGATTCTAATCTACACTTTTTGGTTTTCAAGCAACTATAAGAATCTTAAGAGGTTGATTTCATCCTAACTACAGTATCTGTCCCGTTAGGAAGAAATCAGAATGAAGAGGTCACATAATTTACCCAGGCATCGAAGCTGATAAAAGTGACTAGAAGGACTGAAACTGATCTTGTAATTTCTTTCAGAGGTCTATCCAAGAAAACACTTGTGAATGAATCTCCACAAGTAATAGGGCTACAGTCATCATGTGGTTAGACTACAGTATTTATGAATGTGGAGGGCAGACCACATTGGATCCGAACAACCAGATAAAACAGCAAGACTAACTCTTGGTTTCCAACACTACTCTAGGAAGAAATGTCACAAACAGATCAAGCAGCCAAATGAAGCAGTGTGACCTCTGCTACCTGATCACAGGAGTATGTTTGAGCCCCACCTACCAGAGAGGGATATGGAAGGTTAAGTCACAGAAGTCCTTTCTGAGTGACGGCCCTGTCAGGGCAGCATGGAGGGTAAAAGGATCCACAAGAGCCTCCTGAGCATGAGGACTAAAACAAAGCAAACTTACAGTCAGATTCCTCCTCCAGTCAGTAGGAGTGTTGTCTACAAAGGTTATACTACTACACAATCATCTCCTTTGCTCCCATCTCAATGGTCTTGATTTAAAACATCATCATCCCTTTCAAGGGTGTGTCCCCACATCTAAAGCTTTTATTTTTGACTAAATGAATCTCTATCAACTAGAGAGAGCACCTATAAATTTTCAAGGTTCATGATTCAATTCATTTTGACCAATATAGGCCATTTAAGTCTTTAGAAGACATCTCTTCATCCTCATGTCAGCAATTTGAAAATGTTCTTTAGTCCAGCTGATTTCATTCCCAAGTATAAATGGTTAAGATGAACACCATTTCTTCTTCATTTCTTCTGATGTTAATGGTACGAGCTCCGTGGGAGATTCGTATTTGCCAGATCTCAAGACGCTTGCCTATAGATGAGCTCTTTCAACTGTGCCAGGTTACCACTTTTTAGTGCTTCTCGGATAGAGCAGAAAAATGCAAAGTAGTGTTCAAAGTTGTGCATCATAAGCAGGACCCCTGCCAGGAGCTCATTGGTCACCAGCAGATGGTGGATGTATGCACGAGTGTAATTCTTACAGCAGTAGCAAGAACACCCTCTTACCACTGAGTTGAAGTCTTCTTGATACCTGAGAAAGGAAACCACAATGGCAGTCCCAAAAGTAAAGGATATGTAAAATACACAGCCTGGACTACCTACTGTGCTGACAGATTTGCCAGGATATTATTAACTAGTGATTAATAATGTCCCTGGCAAACTTTCAGTGCTAGGCATCTATTGAAGATGGCAGTGTGGACAGACAGTAACAAAGAACACAGTGGGTCAGGGAAACCCAGGAGTTATCCTCTGATGGATATATCTCCAAGCCTAGGAATCAGGAAATTCACTGGATCACTCATTCATATTGCATTATTAGACACAGTGCAAAGGCACATGTTGTTAGGAAATGCTGTTTTGACAAAGGCTATTTCTCTTTCACTACTATCAGAAGCAGCTCAACCTTTTATTTCCATAGATGTTGAAGGCTACAAGGTACTTTAACTTGTCTTAATCTCTGTATCGACTTTTAGAGACAGACATTTTTATTATTATTTTACTGGTAAAGATTGCTGTGGGGATCTGGAGTCACTCAGCTTGGATTTGAGCCCTGACTCTGAACCCACATGGGCAAGTCACGTAACACCCACCTGTGCCTTAGTTTCTCCTCCATCAGCTAAAAGTACTAAGAGCTGACCTCACAGGGTTATTGTATGGATTCAATGGATAATATAGCAAAAGAGCTAGAACACTGGTGGGACACATATTCAATGCTATATTAGTGCCACCTTCCATCAGCTATTAAAAAGTGACTTCCTGGATGCTGGTGGCTCACACTTGTAATCTTAGCTACTCATGAGGCTAAGATCTGAAGATGGCAGTTTGAAACCAGCCCCAGCAATAAGTACATGAGACTCTTATTCCAATTAACCACCAAAGTTCCAGAAATGGAGTGTGGCTCAAATGATAGAGTGCTAGCCTTGAGCAAAAAAGCTCAGGAACAAATACCAAGGACATAAATTGAAGCCCAGGACTAGCACCAAAAAAAAAAAAAAAAAAAAAGTTAATTTTCCACAATCACACTATCAAAATTCAAATCGAGTCAAAATTCAAATCCAGAAAGTGTATTTTTGTAGTAACCATTTATATTACTCTACCATTTTAAAAGCAGACAAGAATCTCCTTGGCTATTCCTCGAGAAGTTAAAAGTAGGCTGGGAATGTGGTGTAATGGTAGAGTGCTTGCCTAGCATTTGTGAAGCTTTGGGTTCGATTCCTCAGTACCACATACACAGAAAAAACCAGAAGTAATGCTGTGGACCAAATGGTAGAGTGCTGGTCTTGAGCAAAAGAAGGTCCTGAATTCAAGCCCCGGGCCCTGAATTCAAGCCCCAGGACTGGCACAAAAGGAAAAAGAAAAAGAAGTTAAAAGTAGAATATTATTTCAGACCTTCAGTCAAAAAGCCCCAAAGGAATATAAAAAGGAATTATTCTCAAGTCTGTACTTGATAACAACTAAACAGACATGAATAAGTGAGAACTTTGATATAAACCAACAAACACCAAACTCACTAGTACTGGGATTAGCACTTTTGATGAAATGTAAACTTAAAAAGATATCTTAGTTCATTTTTTATGGAGGCAAGTACTTTAATTTAAGATTTAAAATGGACTGGACACTATGTTGAAAATGAACTATACAACTTATGGGTAAGATTAGGAGGTAAAAACTGGGAGAGAGCAAAGGAAGGGGTGATATTATCCAAAAGAAATGTACTCTTTACTTGATTTATATAACTTTTCTTGATTTATATAACTGTACCACACGTTTATAATAACAAACATATTTGTAAAGAAAAATTTAAAATTGGCATATAATTAAAATTACTTAAGTTTCTCTCAATTTACAATCTTTGTTGTGCTTTCTTTATTGTGGTCTTTATTTTACTCTGTTATTGAAGTAATAAGAAGGAAGCTGGGCATGATGACACGTATCTGTATCCCAGCTCCTTGGAAAACAGAGATTGGGAGAGTCACAGTTTGAAGTAAGCCTGAACAAAGTTAGCAAAACCCCATCTCAACAAAGAAGTGAGGCATTATGGTTCCTACCTGTGATACCATGGGTACAGGAGGCATGGGTAGGAGGATTTGGGTCAGAAGCCAAGTTGGCTTCTGCAAGAAACTATTGAAAAGAAACAAGTAAAGGCAAAAAGGGATGGGAGGATGGCTGAAGTGGTAGAGTACCTGTCTAGCTTAAAACCATAGTACTATCAAAAAATAAAATAAATAAAATAAATAATAATAAATAATAAATAAAATAAAATAAATGAGTATCTGGCCTTTGTTTTCTGACAGAACAAAATGCACAAATTCATCTGCAGGAAAAAATTTTCTAGAACCAAATACGAACAGACCTAAGTAATATCAAACTATAAATATTTTATGAAGTCATAAACTGAGAAAGAACAGTTACATAAACTTTTTAAAAACAGACTGAAATTAAAAAGTCAGAAATCAAAATCTGAACTTCATCAACTTTCTTACTTTTTTTCCTTCAGATTAATTTCAAATGATGTCATTTCTTGGTTGCAACCAGTTGTTTTAGCTTTCTTTACTTGATCCATGCACTTTATTTCTTCTTGTATACCATTTTGTTGTAATACTGAAGGAAAAAAAAACAAAAAAAGTCTCTGAATGAAGATCAGATAAGGAGTGGCCACTTTGACTCTATATTATTATTTCATGCCCTTTGACTATAATTCTACTCTTGAGAATTATCCTAAGAAAATCATACAAGAAAGAAAAAATGGCAATATTCTTCTAGAAGGCCATAGACCTATCCATAACATCAAAACAATTTGATATTCACCAACATCTAAGCTAATATGGTTATAAGTATATAACATATAATCTTACCATCAAAGAATGATTTTTTAAATCTAGTTTTGTTGGAAGTTATTCTTTTTCCTTATGACAATTCCTATTCCTTTACATGCAAGTCAATCTGGGGTTTGAAAAAGCCTATATTTCAAGTAGATTGGAGTAGAACATGGTTTTAATTTATGCATTCTGTGGGGAGACTCTGGCCCTGAGCAAAGCAGATTATGCAGAATTAAATGGGAAGCTGAGTTCTTAGAACTCTTGTTTTAAGGAGAAATATTCCTGCAACAGCAAACATCAGATAGTCCATAAAAAGCCACCTGCTTTGAACAGGGGCAAATAGAGAAGAGGTATTTTGGCCCAATAACAATAAGACAAATTGTTCTCAAAAGACAATTTTGTCAAGGCCAAAGGACGAAGAGAACAGACATGAGCAATGAAGATAGAGATACTACAATTTGGTGCTTTTTAGGACAATTGTTGGTAACTTATTTCTTTAACAATTCACTTACATAATTGGCAAAGATCCTTAATTTACATTATATACACAGTATGATTAATAATACTTTGATTCAAATGTTCAAGCTATATCAGTTTTCTTTTCTTTTCTGTCAGTCCTGGGGCTTGAACTCTGGGCCTGGGCACTGTCCCTCAGTGCTTCAGCTCAAGGCTAGCACTCTATCACTTGACCCACAAAGCCACTTTGGGTTTTCTGGACTTTCATGGAGTTTCATGGACTTTCCTGCCCAGACTGGTTTTGAACAGCAGTCCTCAGATCTCAGCCTCCTGAGTAGTTAGGATTACAGGTGTGAGCCACTGGCGACTGGCTCAGTTTTCTTAATCACGAAGAAAGTTGGTTTTCTAGCCAGGATGGAACTTGTTCATTCCAGAGAACTCAATATCAGGTTCTTTTTAGAGCTTTGCATATTCATGGTACTGAATGACTAAGTTACCTCTGTCCTGATAGAAATAATTTAGTTTGTAAATGAAGTCATGAAAATTTATAAAGCTTTAATGGGATGCCTATCCACACACATTATGTTCTGGTCTATCTAAAAGGACAAGAAAATTGACCTCCTAAATATAAGAACTTTGATCAGCCTGATTTATTTTGTTTCTGAGATAATCCAACTTAGATTAATGGCTAAGTTGCTTTGTAAAAGTATGACATCTTCTGAATAAAACTTTAATCATTTGGGAATAAAAGAAACGTTTTAGGAAGTCTCAGGACTTCTTAACTTGAAGGTTGGCAACAGGGAGGGAAGAGTTGGATGAAAAGTAGGAAAAGAAAAAGTCAGAGGGGCTAGTGGGTCAGCGACACTCCCCTGAAGAACTCTTCAAGGGATTAAGACACTGCCAAGTGGGTGTTAGAATCCAAAACTGCTTGTCTTGATTTAGGAATAACTAAACAATGTAAGAAAATGGCAGTGCTTCAAAGCAGTATTAGCAGAACAAAGTAGCTTTCACATCTCAGTGTGAAAAAAAAAAAGCAAAAAGCAACACAAGCATCAGAAGATGGTGAATCTCCCTATAATTTAATTGCATAGAGTTTGTAAAATGCAGACAAGAATGCTTTTGTGAAAAACCAAATTAACTTTTACCAGGCAGTTCAAAGGTTTTTTCTCTCTCAGATTTCATATCAATTTACTCTGAATATTCTTTTTTCAGGTTAACAGATGAGGCCTTGTTTTTCCTCACTACAAAATCTCATCCTAGTATTGATGGTCTAAATATATAGTATCAAGTACCTAATTTGGGATATCAACATACCAGGAACTAGAGATAAGAAATAATTGAGTTTTAGAAAAGACTGGCTTTCCTATTTCTTTCTTGTGACTTGGGCCAAAAATTAGTACAAAATGGAAGCAACTTAAGGATAAGACAGGTTAATTTCAAAAGACCTACTTGTCTCCTCAGGATTCAGCTGGTAATCAAAGCTGAAAGTCAAGGCACACCCTCTCTCTGTTACTTGATAAGGGAAAAAACTCTCAAATAAGTCCACTCCTCTTTCAATACACTCCAGCACCTCATCTGGCTGGCTAACCCCACAGATGAGCCTATAAAATAACAATAAGAACAGTGACATGAGACAATTCCAGCAATGAAATTAGAGCCTTTCCAGTCAACAGGATATTTAGAAACAACAGTAATGAAAAACACCCATGGCTGGGAATGTGGCTCAGTGGTAGAGTGCTTGCCTAGCGTGCATGAAGCCCTGGGCTCAATTCCTCACTACCACATAAACAGAAAAAGCCAGAAGTGGCACTGTGGCTCAAGTGGTAGAGTGCTAACCTTGAGCAACAGAAGCTCAGGGACAGTGCCTAGACCCTGATTTAAAGCCCCAGGACTGGCAAAAAAATAAACAACAACAACAAAAAAACACCAATCAACATTAGTAAGCAGCAAATAATAAGTATGAGGGAACAAGGCTGATTCCTAGATCTACCATTTGTTTAACTGCTGTGCCACTCCAGACAGGTTTCTTAAATTTGAATTATTGTTTCTCATTTGAAAAACAAGATCAATAATGCATACCTCCCCAAGAACCATTGTGAGTTGTTTTGTGGTAGGGAGAGGAAGTAAGATTGTTGTAGTAGGGATTGAACCAGGCATCCTGTCTGCTAGGTGAACTGTTCTACCACTCAAACAACAATTCCAGCCCTGCTATTTTTATTTCACCTTTGAGATAGGGTGTCACTAGCTTTTTGTTACCCTCTAACTTGGCAATCTTATGCCTCCACCTCTAAGACACTGGGATTATAGGAATATGTCACCATTCCTGGCTCACTGAGCATTGATGAGATTTTTGAGAAAGCACATAGTATAGCTGTGGCCTCCAGAAAGAAGCTCATAGGATTGTTTACTTCTCGTTCTAACTAATTCTTTCCAAACATCTTTCCAGTCTTAGGATGAACTTTTAGCCTAATCTCTATACTACAATAAGTCTGTTTTTTCTTTTTTGGGTTTTTGTTTTTTTAATCAGTCATGGGGCTTGAACTCTGGGCCTTGGCATTGTTCCTCAGCTCTTCAGCTCAAGGCCAGTGCTCTACCACTTGAGCCACAGTGCCACTTCCGGTTTTATGGTGGTTTATTGGAGATAAGAGTCTCACAGACTTTCCTTGCCTAGGCTGGCTTTGAGCTTCTATCCTCAGATCTCAGCCTTCTGAGTAGCTAGGAGTACAGGCATGAGCCATCAACGCTCAGCTCAATAAGACTGTTTTATTCAAATATTTATTACATGTTGTTTTGATCAAGCAGTCTGGTGATTAAATATAAAGATATATATATGTATATAAATACATATATACACATATTTTTTTAATCAAAAGAAATTTCTAAAGCAAAACATTTAAATTCTTGTATTCACATTATATGGTTTAGCTGATGCAGAAAAGCTCTCAACCAAGTTTTGCTGCTAAAGCAAGATGTGAGAATGTATTTGATGGAGACTGGCTACTTGGCTGGAACTAGTTTTATGGTTTATTTTCTACCCATAGTCCCTTCTCATGATCTGGAAGAAAACTTATGTACTTTCTGACTTCTAAAATAAGTTACAAAAATAAAAAGCTTATATAATATTAAATAAGCAGAACCCTTAAATATATGCCAATTCTCCTGACTACAGTTTCAAGTCCTATAATGTTTTAGGACTTGTCTCCAACTGAAGCTGGCATTTCTTACACACTTACACAGAGAAAAACAACCCCAGCTTTCAAATTCAGTAACAGACATCTGTGAACGCTGAGTGCAAAAAAAAAGTCCAGAAATGTCTAGAAAGCTCGTGCTGAGCTGTTCTCTGCATCAGAGTGAAATGAGCACAGGAGGAAAGGCAATGAGCACAAAATTAAAACTGGGGGAAGGGAAAGGCTAACTGTGATGGCAGAAATACCCTGATCTGGGGTCAGGGGAAGTGTGTACACAAGTGTGTCACACCTGTGTGTTACAATCCACTGAGATGTTTCTGAGATTGCATATATTATATACTACCCTGTAGCCCTCAAGGAATACAAAGCAGTATCCCATAATCAAATGTTTGGCTTATCTGCAGGAAAAAGAAAAAACAAAAAAAAAGCACAAATCCTAAACCTTTTATTCAACATTAAGTGGAATTCAAGACTATGAAAGGATGATGCACACCTATAATCTCAGCAGGTAGGAGGCTGAGGAAAGAGGATCACAAGATTGAGGCAAGTCTGGTCTTCACATTGAGACCCTGTCTCAAAAATCAAACAAAAATACTACAGAATAATATATATATTTTAAAGAAATGATAAGCATCTTGGTGCTGGTAGCTAACGTTTATAATCCTAGCCACTCAGGAGGCTGAGATCTGAGGATTAAGATTTGAACCTAAGCGGGGTGCCAGTAGCTCATGCCTGTAATCCTAGCTACTCAGGAGGCTGAGATCTGAAGCTCACAGTTCAAAGCCAGCCTGGGCAGGAAAGTCCATGAGACTCTTATCTCCAATAAACCACTAGAAAACTGGAAATGGCACTGTGGCTCGGTAGAGCACTGGCCTTGAGCTGAAGAGCTGAGGGACAGCACCCAGGACCATAGTTCAAGCCCCACGACCAACAACAACAAAAAGAAGATGTGAAGCTAGCTGAGGCTAGAATGAGAGGAAATAGTTTAACATTTGTCCTTATTTAGGAGGATTATTCACATGGCAGTTACTCTAAGCTCTACATTCTGAAACAGGGGTAGGGAAGCCTTGACCGAAGTTTCCCTCATAAAAAAATCGGAAGAAAGTGAGGAAAGAGGTAACACTGTTCAAAAAGAAATGTACTCTTCACTTGACTTACATAACTGCCACCCCTCTGTACATCATCTTTACAATAAAAATGTTAAATAATCAAGAAATTTTTTAAAGAAATTTCCCTCATAGTCTGTAGTGATAGACAAAAAGGACATAATCAGAACATGAGAAGGCATGCCCGTTTCAACTCTCATCCTACAGTCGGCCAGCCAGCACTCCCTGCGTGGCCTACACTCTGATGGAACACTGGCCTGGGTTTGTCCTCTGGCAGCTCCGCAGTGACAGATGACAGCATGTGCAGTCTGGTCTCCAAGGTTCTTAGATTCCCTTGAAAGCCATCTAGAAGGAAACCTCCTACAGGGCGCTTGGCTGTCTCTCGTGCCGACCTCAGCCTCTCTTCCATCACATCGCCTCCTTCAATGACGCCAATGATCACACTTTTCTGAAGGACCTGAGGTTAAAAGAAAAAAAAAAAAAAGAACTGAAAGGTTCTTAAACCATTTTGAATATCAAAGACCTTTATTTGTAAGACCCTTACATGGAATTCCAATGGATGGAATAGATCTCAATGAGGTTGCTGATGAAGAAACATTGAAGGGGAGTAATATGGTTCCAAGGAACCACCAAACATGTAAGAAAAGAGTGAGGAAACATAGAGGCAATCAACATATGTTGACATATTCTAGATTAAGATTAGATAAATGTACTCTGTGGAAGAACAGAAAGAAAGGGACACAGGAAGAGCCTTAGTCATTTTAGATGACTATTGAGAGCCATTTTTAGCTATCAGCAAATCCTTCAGCCACAGATAATTTTAGGAACTTATGAAACTTTATGGAACTTTTTTCCATTTGGGAAAAAATATTATGCAATGACTAGAGCACATCTTCCTCAGAAGCAAACTCGATGGAACAAATAGCTAAACATAAAAATATAAATACCAAGAATTTACTGGCGCCAGTGGCTCACACTTGTAATCCTACCTTCACAAGAGGTCGGGGGTCTAAGAATTGCAGTTCAAAGCCAGTTCGAGGTCAGCCAGAACAGGAAATTCCATAAGACTCTTATCTCCAATTAACCACCAAAAAAACAAGAAGTGAAGCTGTAGCACAAATGGTAGAGCTCCAGCTTTGAGCCAAAAAAACTAAGGGATAGCCCACAGAGCCTAAATTCAAGCTCCAGTACTAATACAATATATATGTATGCATCTATCTATCTACAGAGATTGAGAGAGAGAGAAGCTCAAGTTTTAGAAGAATGTACTGAGTATTTTTATCATCTTGGGGGTAAAGAAGGCTTTTCTAAGTAAGCTAAAGCCTATAGGAAATAAGTGACATGTTTATGTATAAAACATTAAAGCCTGTCTAGTTAAACATACAATAGTGAGGAATAGTTACCTATTCCTCCTATTTTGAGGAATAGGTAACTATCTATACCACAGAGTCAACAAATTCTCTAAGGAAACAATAGCCCCATAGAAAATAAAATTCAGAAAGATAAACGTAATCCCCTACATATATAGAACTAATTAGAAACAATAAGAAGTATTTTTTCCCATGGCAATAACACAAAAATGTAGACAACACAGTGTAAGGGAAAGAATAAGAAAATGGTCATTATATACCCTGATAACCAGAAAGAATAAAAACCAGTTCAGCTTCTCAGAAGGGCAAGTAGGTAACACCAAAATATCAATGCTTTTATCTTTGAGTTCTAAAATTCCACTTCTAACAATCTCTCTTGTAAATGCATCAAGACATATTTACAAAAGTATGGAGAATAATGGGAACCAGAAACAATCACCAATCAATGGAGTAAGACTTACATAATTTATGATACATTCATAATACAGTTCACTATGCAGCTGTTTTAAAAAGGATGCAGCAGATATACTAATATATACACTGACAGAAAGTTTCAGGAGATTGTTAACAAAAAATAAGCAAATTGCTGAAGATATGAACAGATTGGTGAATTATGGCATGCATATATCTATGTATTAATTACATGTAAGGAACTGCATAAAATAAGGTTTTCAAAGACAGGAACAAATCAAAAGTGGCTCTTGGAGAAACAGGGAGAGGTCTGGAGAAGAAATCTGGAATACTATGCAAAGGGAGTTTTGCATCTTAATTTGAGCAGAAGGGACAGAATCAGACTATTCCACTAGAAAATACATTCTTACTGTGATGTGGATGAATTAAGGGTTAGTAGGGTTAAGAATGGGGTGAGAAAGAACTTTATCAATCCAGATGAAAGAGAAGATGACCTGCTCAGGAGGCAGAAGTAACACAACTTGACCATTAAATTCCTGGGTAGAGAAAGAAGATAAATTCTAGGATGATTTCTGGTTCCTGTTTTGGAATCCTAGGCAGATAGTGATAAGAATAAAGATGAAATAATCCTAGAAGAACAGTGGCAATAAGGCAAGATGATTATTTTGTTGGGTGCATTATTCTGAGGTATCAGTGGATGTACAAATGGTTATTTTAACTCAACCACTGAACAGATGAAACTTAAGTTATGAATATGTTTCACAGACTGTGCGGGGTAGAAGGGTAGATGTTTGCTTGGCAGGATGCCACCCCTTCCCTTTCCTGCTTCCACAGTAGACATGGCTAACAGATAACTCTCTTCCTGAGGTACCATGCATGGCTCCATAAACCTTATATGAACCCATTTGCCATTCCTCACCTAGGAAATATATATACAGAAGAAAATGAATGCCAAACCCAGAACCTTGGGGAGCTTGAAGTGTATTCAAAATTTTTAAAAATCCAGGTCCTTTTCAGCAAAAGGCAAAGATGTATGTATGTAAAGCAAGTATTTACTAATGACCAATACAGCCCTCCTTGGGAAACTCCCTTCCATGAATATAAGGAGTCTGATCATACACACTACTGTCTAAAATGGAACAATGAGGAATAAAGGGGACACTAATAATAACCATAGCAAGACAGTAGTGTAAGCATAACCAATACAGAAAAGAATCCTAACATTTGAATAATACACAGAAGTAATCTGAAATAGTAAGATTGATGACAATATAAATAGGAAACTCTGGCCTTTCTAATAATCATCTTTGTCACATCTTCTATACTGAGTACTATTTATCCAAATACTACAAGTACTACAAAGATAATTACTGACGAAAAGCAATATACTACCTTGGCCTAGTCTTCAGGCTAGACTTCTAAGAAGTCTAACTGAGTTAGTCATAACTGAGTTCTATTTAGAATAACAACTTTCCTTTCAGTATTTCTTGGACATTAACTTTACCAGTCAAACCATGTTTTTATTGTAAAATAAAAACAGACTTCAAATGTAATATGCTTTGCCATGATCAAAGCACACGATCACTGCTAGGGATCTGATCACTGCTCAGGATTGTTCACATAAATAATCTCAAATACTGAAATCCTCCCTTCTGATCCCTTGTTACTCCCTTACCTCCTCTGCTTTCTCCCAGTAAATGCCTCCTTTTCCAACTTCATTAACTCTGTTTTCAGGCTCCTTATTTACTGCTATAGTTATTCACTGAGGACTTACTATGTGTCAAGCCTTCTGCTATATATGGTAAGATACATACAACATGTAAAAATAGAGTTTAAGGAGACCACATTTTAACAGATAAATACATAAATTACTGCAATCTCACATGACTGTGGTTACAGTATAGCTTCATATAAATTAAAGGGATAACAAAGGATAAACACAACTTCCTGGAAGTGTTAGGGACCAGTTTCATACTTTGATGAATGAATTAAATGAACCTAATGAAAGGAAGATGGACAGAGAAAACAAGGGGAATAGCTGTGAGGAATACCTATATAGAGGTGCCTCAGAATGGAACAGGCTAAGGTCTCAGAAACCACAGATAAAAGTCTAGAGTGTACCATAGGAAAAGTAACCTACAAAGAGCTGAAGAAATTGCTGGAGCCCAGTCCCACTCTAGGCATAAAGTGGAGAGTTATTAACTTCTCTCAGGAAAGTGGTAACAGGCTGACATCTGAGTTAATACAACAATCTCTTGGAAAGCAGGTCTTAAGATGAATAGAAATGAGAATAGAGATCAATTCAAAGGTAGCAAAGATCAATCCAGAAATGATGAGGTCACGGCTTGGGTAGGGGGACTAAGAATGATAGGAGGAGGTTATTTTTGACATTCTTAATATCCATTTATCAATGGATATTAAATGTACATAAGCAAAGAGTCTTGAAAAGCTCAAATTCTTCAGCTAAGCAACCTGGTTGATGCTATGAACTGATCTAAACAAAGTACAGAAAAACAAAAGGAAGATAGGTCAAAGGAAAGAAGACAAAAGTCCAGTGATATAATCTAAAGTCCAAGAGTTAAGTAGGATGACATTGATTTTATGTATATATATATATATATATATATATATATATATATATATATATATATATATATATATATATATATATATATATATGTGTGTGAGAATTATTTAGCAGTAAAAACTAAGGCGAGGCTATGTAAAGATTGTAATGAAAAGAGAGTCTAAGACAGCATCCTTGAGAAGAACAGTTCCTAGGGAATGCAAGAATAACTGGAGCATGAAGTAAGGAACAGAGAAGTAGGAGTGACAGAAAATGCAAATCATATATCTTGACCATGTAATTGTAACTCCTCTGTATGGTATTTCCACAATTAAAAAAAAGAAAGAAAATGCAAATCATAGACTGGAAGGGGGGTAAATTTCAAAAGAAAGGAGGGGGGGGGTCAGCCTCACCTCTGACTCTTCCTGTAGCCGCAGACAGTTGTCCAGAAATAAAAGGGACCGGTCCACAGCTTTTCTAGCCCTTTTTATGGAAGCTGATTTTTCACAAGATGCCTCTCCATCTGAGAGGCACTGGAACCAGTCGGGTTGCAGGGCCTGCTGAATTTCCATAAACTTGGAGGCGGTCATTTCCACTCGTCCTCCGACACCCCAGACAGACACTGACTGCCATGGAGTGGGATGATGAGGAATCAGCAAGAGTGAAATGCAAATTTTTTTAAAAAAGGAATATAACAACAAAGTAATAATTCTTTATAACTGGAGAGATAGCATCAATTTCAATTCAATCTCCTAGAGTGTGAATAAAGTGTTAGACTGTATTTTGAATACTCTAGGGCCTAGGAGTCCATAGAGTCAATGATCATTTAGTCAACTTATGAATTAGCCTCCAAAGGATTTTATGTTAAGTTTTCTAGCACAACCTTCCCTTGTTCCTTAATCCATCTCCTCTAGCCCCAGGCCTATGCTTGCTGTTATGCCCATTCTCTTTCTTTGATTGGCAAAAATACTAGGCATTCTAAGTTTAAAATCTTCTCCAGACTTTACTGGACATAATCGATAGTTCTCTTTGCTAAGCTTAGGGTAGTTCATACTTCTGGCTTTAATAGCAAAGATAGCACTTATCATACTTGGTATATTTGTATAGCTAGAGCATCCCAATTAATGTCTACATCCCCAAAGCAGCTACTGCTCCATACTGCTACTGCATTTAATAAGTGGTTACTAAGTTGAAGTAGATACAAAATTATGAGCAAAGACATTGATCCAGCAGCTCATAAAGATGTCCATACTTAATATTGGATCTTTATTAGTCTTCCTCTATACCATCTCTGTTCTTAGAGATCACTAAGTATATAGATGGAGGGGAAATATACAGTCTTCCTTGTCTGTAAAGGATAAGAATACTGTTTAACTGAAATGAATCTTTTCCTTCTTATAAATAGAGTAGATAACTGGGACCTAAATACTTTTGGGGGGATTCAATTCACAAAAATAACTGAAAATAACATATGTAGGTAATTAATAAATATGTAGACATCAATAAATTGAGTGCAGTAGATGTGACTGCATTTGTCAAGCATCAACATCTCCTGTATCGGGCTAGGAAGGTGGCTCAGTGGTAGAGCGCTTGCCTTGCATGCATGAGGCCATGGGTTCGATTCCTCAGCACCACATAAGCAAAAAGAAAAAAGCCGGAAGTGGTGCTGTGGCTCAAGTGGTAGAGTGCTGGCCTTGAACTGAAGAGCTGAGGGACAGTGCCCAGGCCCAGAGTTCAGGCCCCACAACCGGACCCAAAAAAAAAAAAAGAAAGAAAGAAACAACATCTCCTGTATCTTACATCGTCCTCAGGGACCGTAGCTACAGGGCTACCTCTCAGATGAAAACTCAATGACATCTTTTGGACATCTTCCTTTACTAGCTAAAACCTCAGGCTGCAGATAGTTTTTGTCAAATCCTATTCTACCCAGCAAGCAGTATTCTCTTTAGGTTCTACTATATATAGTCGTACATGCGATAACCTTCATCAGCAACTTTCTCCATGGGCCTTGAAATTGTTCAAACTGCAAATAAAGAACAGCACCCAAAGACAATTGTTTTCTCCCCTCGTAGCAATTTCTTTTCTTGGTATGTATGTGACCCTTCACAGTGTTTTTGCAGCAATAAAAATGTTGAGGGTATACTCCTCATCTCAGCTCACCTTTGAGCAGCCCTGCTCCCTTGTCCCATAGTACCCTACCACGATAACAACAACAATAATAATAGAAGGTATAAAGAAATCATCCCAGACAGAGGCACAGTAAACTAAACTCCTAGGACAAAACCTGCAGTATTGGAGGACCATATTGGAACACTAGAACATACCTTGTTTGTCACATAACCAGATGGGCAGGGGCTGACTGGATCGTGCAGAGAGCAGTATAAAAGCGACTCTGGCATGCCTGTATAAACACAAAGGAGATCTTGAAAGTGCTTCCATCAATTACATTTGTTTTAACATGGAACAACTTCATAGTGTCTACATGAAAAAAAAGCCAGGCTAGTGGCTACAGTAAGTAATTGCTACCTGATTTTGGATATATAGGAGGTCAATGAAGAAGTACAAAAGACTACTATGAAACCTATTAATTTAAAAGAGCTAAATAGTAGGAAGATGAAATGATATGAGTCAACTAAGTAATTCCAGTAACAATAAATCTCATTAATAATATTCTTGTGTCCCTAGGTGCAGAATTATAGGGAAACTGTACAGTACTGCAAATGGGCCTCGTTCTTAGTCTGTTCCATTAACGCAAAATGATAGTTTCTTATGCTCTTTAGTGAAAAAGACAATGGCTTTATTTTTAAAAATCCACAGAAATGATTAGCAAAGCATTAAGGGTTTAAGTCATATGATACTCCACATTTTTCATAAAAAACAAATCAAGTTAAAAACCTCTGCAGTTCTCCATCTTATTTTTCACCATTTCAATTATGGCAATTATCTCTAAAAAGCCTCTCTTAGCTATGTTCAGTTATGTATATGCTTGTATAGAGTTTGTGAAAGACAAAACAGGGCTGGAAAGGTGGCTCAGTGGTAGTGTGCTTGCCTTGCATGCATGAGGCCATGGGTTCGATTCCTCAGCACAACATAAGCAGAAAAGACTGGAAGTGGTGCTGTGGCTCTAGTGGTAGAGTGCTAACCCTGAGCTGAAGAGCTGAGGGATAGTGCTCAGGCCCAGACAACCAACCAAAAAAAAAAGAAAAAACATAAATTCCTGCATTGAACCAACAAGTCATCATGTGGCTTCCTCCAGAAGCACAAGGGTGAAAAACAAAGGAAAATAAGATCTTCACTTACTTGCATGAGATCTAAATATTATAGTAAAGCTCTAGGAGAAAAGTGGTCCACAGAAGAACTGGCCCACTAGCCCTTACTCAGATTTACCTTGAAAGAAATGGCACATACATCTACATAAACAATCTACTGCCATAACGAAAGATAAAACATATCAAAATGGCTGCATATAAAGCCTTCTTGAAATTGAAGACTGAATGAGATGAGACACTCCAGATCTGTTATATGTCCATGGCAAGATCTCCTATCAGGTCTGTTTTCAGTGACTGGAGTATCTGCCCACATTTGTTTACCAATACTCTGCTCCTACTCTTGACCTGGTCAACACCTGATCTTCCTTGACCCAGCTAATATGCTCATAAATCCTTTCTTTATCCTGACCCCCTCCCACATATACTCAGAGAGGTTATGTGCTCCTCTCCACAGACTGCCATGATTCACATACACATCTCTAATCCTGCAAAGTGGTCTCCACATTCTCACTAGATTGCTTGTCTGTCTTTATTCCAGCTGGGCTCCAGATCCATAAGAACCGCAACTGTTTACTATTCAACTTTTAGCCCCCAACATCTGGTTCTTAGATGTACAAAAGATATTCATTAAAACACCAAATAAACAATGTGTGATATTGATAAATCAGCAGCATCCTTAAACTCTACATTATCACATCATAAGGTACAAACAAATCACTTTTACCTATAAAGTTTCCAACTCCTTTCTTATATTCTGCCAAGACTTCATAATGTTCTGCTCTGTAAGTGAAAACAGGAAAAAACACAACATAACAACAAATCTTTCCTTAGATACTATGAAAAACATCTAAAGCCCTGTGCTACTCATCCACGACAGTAACTGTAAATTTGACCAATAAACTACATTATTCAACAGTCCCAATGAACTAGTCTAAGTTAGTCAAAATTCAGCTCTTTGGTTTGCAAAAGGAGCTTCTTTAAGAGAATATAACAAAGATTGACTGCTTCAGAATATTTGGATTCTCTTCTCTTGCCCCTTTAAAAACCAGTTATCAACACAGTAGTTATCTGATCAAACACCAGGCTCTTCAATTCATATAAAGTCAGTTATGTATTACACAAAATGACTTCACTCTATTCATTCTACTTCTGTAGAGCAATACTAGTAAGGGCAGAGACAGGAAAAAAAAATGCTTTGAGGATGGTATGTAAGTATAGTCCTTACCGAGCATTCCCTGCCACCAGGGAATGGTAGCAACGAGGACAGTATGGGAGGAAGAGTAAAATAACACTAACATATAGGTCTGACCCATGGTTCTAGGTTAAGAACCAAATGGTATGCAATATCTTATACCTCTCTTCTGATTTTAGCCTGAAATTGACAAATTGTGAACAAAGAATTCTTTCTCATTGTTGCACCCAACATCAGTGCCAACGTCAGCACTTGCATACTGGGTTCCACACTTACAGAGATGACAGCGTGAGCTGAGCCATGGCCGGAACCCCATGGATATTGTTCAGTGTATGATCTGTCAGGTGTGGGGCAGAGCCAGTCCTGGTATACAAAAGGCATCCTGGAATGTCCATGCTGCAGTTGCCTGCTTTGCCCAGGTTTTGAATTTTCCCAAGACGACACCCATTAACGACCTTGGTAAGATTCAGCTTCATCCTTAGGGAATCTTCTAGGTTCTGATAAGAAGAATAAAATTTAGTCACGGGATTTTTGTCTGAAGTAAATGGAAGTAAATGGAAGGATGGTAGTGGAATGACGAATCATGAAAGGAATTCCAGAAAGCCATGGTCACTCTAAACTTTGACGTAGTATAAAGGGTCACAGTGAGTGCTTAAACCATACTAATTACTGATTTGAACCATTTTTTAGCTTTTCCATTTTGAGAAAATATTAAGCAACCTAGCATTTTTTCTTAATTGTTCAGTAAAGAAAACAAACTCTGCTGAGCACAGGTGGCTTTTACCTATAATCCTAGCTACTCAGAAGGCTGAGGCACAGAGGACAGCAGTTCAAAGTTTAGCTCAGGAAAAAATGGTCCATGAAACTCAATTTCCAATTAACCAGTAAAATGCCAGGATAGAGGCATGGTTCCGGGGAAAACATCAGGTGTGAGTAAGCAAAGTGCATGAAGGTTTGGGGCACTGAGATCAAGCCCTGGATCAGCAAAAACCAGGAAAGTCCCTAAAACAATATTCTGGTTCATATTAAAGTTTATAAACATAGGGACTGACCTGTCTCCTAGCTATTTAGGAGGTGGAGATAAGGAGGAACATAGTTTGAGAGCAGTCTGGGCAAAATAGTTGGCAAGACCCCCCACTTCAAACAACAATTTGGGGATGGTGGTATATGCCTATGATCTAAGCACCCAAGGCTGCATAAGTAGGATAATCACAATGACTCTGGACGCCAGCAAAAATTTGAGACCTGGGGCTGGGAAGATGGCTCAGTGGTAAGAGTGCTTGCCTTGCATGCATGAGGCCCTGGGTTCGATTCCTTAGCACCACATAAGCAGAAAAAACTGGAAGTGGTGCTGTGGCTCAAATGGCAGATTACTAGCCTTGAGCTGAAGAGTTGAGGGACAGCACCCAGGCCCAGAGTTCAGGCCCCACGACCAGCAAAAAAAAAAAATAGAGACCTTACCAAAAAAGTAACTAAAGCACATGCCTATAAATCTAGCCACTCAAGCGGTGGAGATCTGGAGGATATTGGTACAAAGCCTGTAAGAAAAGTTGCAAGACTCCATATCCAAAATGATAATCAAAAGCAGGTCTGTAGACATGGCTCAAGACGGAAAGTGTCAGCTAAGCAATCAAAAGGCTGACTTCAAACCCCAAACACCTGCACCTCCCCTCTGCAAAAGAGTAAAAAGGGCTAGCAAGGACATGAGGCTTTGAGTTCAAATCCCACATCAAGTAAAACACTATAAACTATAGGAATATACATTAAAGAGTATTTTTAAATGATAAGCAGAAATTATCTACAAGGTTGAATAATACTCCAACTTATTTTCACATGACGTCTACGTGGAACACACATAATTTTTCATTACCTTTGTAATTGGGAAAGCCAAGTCTCTATTTTAAAGAGGGAAAAACGTACTCTAACTTTCCTAGATAAAAAAGTCGGGTAGGAAACTCAGAAACGATGATCAATTATTTGGGTGAGAAGCTGCTAAATAATTAGATCCCGGGTTACACCTGTAAGATGCATTATAGAACTTGACAAGCAATCGTGGTAAATCTTTCAAAATGTCACTGGAGACACCAACATTTTAGAAATACTTTCTAGTTCCCTAAGCAAGGACTATACTGTCTGGAATTCCTGTCAACTGGGTCAGACTATAATTATTACAGCTTATCGGAGACAGTCCATCTTTGGATCTCGTCCTCTTTATGCATTACTTTGGATTTATCTTTGCTCCTTGAGCCATTCTCCCGGGCCTTGGACTTTGGTAAGAGCCGCTCTCAGAGATTCGAGATGGGCCCACCTTCTCCATTACCCTGGGTCGCTCAAAAAAACTTGTACATGAACTTGGGACTTTGAAAAAGGTGGCCCTCTTCGCTCAGAAGTGTCGCCGATGCTCACACGATGCAGAAGAAGTTGGACTCACACACCAGGAAATCCCCCAAAGGCAAGAAGAGACGGAGAGCAAAACAGTGCAACACAATGCGGAGCAGTGGGTGCGATGCCACTCGCCCATCCCTAGGAGCTCCACACCAGCGGGGGAGAAAGGAGGGGACTTACCCGCCAACTTCCCAATTCTTTTGGCTTTTCCGAACCCCAAAACAACTCCTCACAGTCTACTAACACGTGTCAGGTCAGCGGAATTGTCGCCCAGCTAAACCACCGCCTCCGGGACAGAGCCAATTAGGGAGTACTACGTCATCACTAGGCGCTAGAAAGAATCCAAGGTCCTATCCGGGCGAGACTGAGAGGGGCCGCTGTTGCCGTGGTAACTGGGAGAACGCGCGCCGCCTGCGCAAAGCCTCTTGGGAGATGTGGTTCGGCGGCGTCAGACACCTGCCGTCCCTGTAGGTTGAAGAACTACAACTCCCAGTGCTCCTGCAAAGAACTCCGGCCGAGGAGCCGCGGTTGTGGCAAGTTCCGCCGAGGTACGGGCCTGAACCTAGAAAATGCTGTTGGCGCCCCAGGAAAGGTACACCTCAAAGAAGAAGATGGAGCTGAGTCGCTGGAAGCGGCTCACAAGGCCTTTCAATCCCAAGGTGATCCCAGATCGGAGCTTTGGGGGGCAGAGACTGGCACCCGACGCTGCCCAGCCCGAAGCCAGCCGCGGGCCCTCCGCTGCTTCCTCCCTCTTCCCCCAGGGGCATCCTTACCTGGCCTTTACTGCCCCAATTCTACATTGCTTCCAGGAAAGTGATGTCAGGACTTCTATTGTAAGAGCCGGGTACCCCACGGCTTTGGTGGGCAGCATTATGGAAGAATGGCTTATCTTTTCAAACCAAGAGGTGTGCAGTGCCCATCAGCGCCAATGTTAGGAAACTTCTCCCATAAATATTTGCCTGCCTGTCTGCCTAATTTGTCCAATCTGTCTGTCTCTGTCTCTCTCGTAAATCTGAGATCACTAATATTTAGAGTGAGATAAGTGCATTGAATGTTCTGCCTATATCCCAACTCCATCATCTTTACATCTTTACATATTTTAAGTATTTACATATTTAATATGAACTCATGGATCCCCGTGGATATTGAATATATCACTGCGTGATTCCTATGGGAATGTTTAAATTCTACCAACATTAAAAAATAGATCCCCTTTCTATCTGTTACCTCTTTGGTTACACTTAATTCCTGAAGACAAAAAAGAAAAAGCCACTAATAACCCAATTTTAACTGAAGCATACATAAGTGACATGCAGAATCACAGTCACATGGTGTGAGTACCTTTTTACAAGTAAAAATGAATGAGAGTACTAAAATGGGAGAGGCTTCTTTGCTTTTTTTCCCTTCCTCTTTCATTTCCAGTGCAGTTTCACCACCTGTTAACACCCTTCAGTTACATTTTCCTAAAACAACAAAAACTTTATTGGTTTGTGGCCCTTTGTGAGGACCTCAGGCAAGTATGCTTGTGGCTTGTCCTAAATATAGCAACTAAGTGCACTGAACTTATTCCACTTAGTGAATACCTTGTCCCAGATACTAGAGGGTACGGACTAGAACATTGTGGAGACTTGGAAACTGAGGAAGCTTTTACCAAAGTATCAATTACATAACAGATGGGATCCTAATATCTTTGAATATAGACTTGATGATAAAATATTTTTTAATGTAGGATAATTTCTTAGGACTCCAAAAAGAGTGAGCTTTTTTCTTTTTGTAAATAGTGCTAATTGTTATTTTTAGAAGTTTTTTTTAGAAAGCAAAACCAGATAGCTCCTTAAAGATCAGCGCACTCTTTGTTGCAGTGTCAAAACTATTCATTGGTTCAGCTGTACTAATCAGTAGGGTCCTTTGAGGCTGAAGTGTTAGGAAAGTGAAAGAGTATTATTTTTTTTCCCCACCTCCATGTGTCAGTATACAAGTTTAGATCTCTCCTGATTTAAAAAACCCATCTGAATATTTAGCAAAGCAAATACCTCCATTTGTTAAGCAATTAAGTAGAGAGAATTTCTGCAAGCTTCTGAGAGTTTTAGGGGGTAGAAAAAAAAGTCATCCTAATTGTCTGATTTTTTTAGTTCAATTAATAGCTGACTGATCTGGGTGGAAATTAATTTGTTTTCTACCTCATTTTCTTTTTGGTACTGTCCCAATGTTTGGTTCTGTGCACCAAACCATATCTACAATATAGCTAAAATAGGAACGCCTGTGGCTACAGTCTAATCCTGAAAAGAGGGAAAAGAGGAATACACCTTTCTCTATGCAGGAAATTACTTGGATAGCATGGCTTGTTTGGGATTCTTTCCCCTGCCCCCCAATCGTCCGGCTTGAACTCAGCACAAGGCTAATGCTCTACCACTTGATCCACAGCACCACTTCTGGTTTTCTGAGTGGTTTATTGGAGATAAACCACTTTTCCTGCTGGGTTTTCCTGCTGGGGCTGGCTTTGACCCTCGATCCTCAGATCTCACCCTCCTAAGTAGCTAGATTACAGGCGTGAGCACCAGTACCCCGCTTTTGTTTGACGAGTTTTGTATCTAGCATTTAAAAAACGTTTTATTTTTTTATTTATTTGGTTGGTCATGGGGCCTGAACCCTGGGTTTGGGCACTCTTCAGCTAAAGTTAGCATCCTACCTACCAGTTGAGCCACAGTGCCACTTCTGGCTTTTTCTGCTTTTGTGATACTGAGGAATTGAACCCAGGGCCTCATGCAAGGGAAGCACTCTACCACTGAGCCACCTTCCCAGCCCTCTAGCACTTTTAAATCTTGACTTGAAACCCTGGTGAGCTTTAAATAAAACACTGATGCCTGGGCCCTACTCCAGACCAATTAAAGTACAATTTCAGGTAAGCTTAGACATAAAATAGAAACAATGTCCAAGAGAAAGTTTTGTCTGTTTCTTCCTGTACTGTGATTTCTGTGTTCTTTTATTGCAAATCAGTGCTGAACTTCCTTATGAAATGGTCTTAGGAAAGAAGAAAGAATAATTTTCCCCTGCATGCATTAATCAGAAGGATAGATTAAATGGCAAAGTTTAGGAAGATGATGCTATGTATTAATATTGTGTATATATTTTCTGCAGCCCGCTTTTGACCCTGACAATGTGGAACACTGGATGAAGGTAAGGGTATTTCAAAATTAAGATAGAAAGGAAAATCAGAGTCAGGCTGATGGATGAAAAAGAAGTGCTGACAGCTCTCCAATACACTTTGCAGTTTTTATCGCCATGAGATTATGTATGTTGCCTCAGTGTTACACTTCTTAATATTTTTTCATTGTTTTTTGGCTTTTCTCAAATCATTTAATATGAATGAAAAAAAAACAAGTGTGTAGATCCATTATTTTCAATGCTATGAGTCTTACATGAGGAGGATTAAAGTATCAGGGAAGCAGTCAGTGGATAAAAGAGTGGTAGTCTTCAGATGCTAGAAAGACTGTACTATACTTACTCTGATACAAGGACCAGTGAGAAAAAGATATATGTGCATCACAAGAATTGTCTAATGTCTACAGAAATCCAAAACTGGAGTGAGCATTTTCTGTCACTGGCCGTATTCAAATGGACTATTAAATACCTTTTAGCACTAAGCTAATAATATATTTGAGCATTCCAGAGGTGTTTGGGCTAGGTAAACTCTGAGATCTCTTTCAGTCCTGAAATGTATATATTTCTCTCTCTCTCTCTCTTTTTTTTTTTTTTTTGCCAGTCATGGGGCCTGAACTCTGGGCCTGGGCGCTGTCCCTCAGCTCTTCAGCTCAAGGCTAGTGCTCTACCACTGGAGCCACAGCACCACTTCCGGCTTTTTCTGCTTATGTGGTGCTGAGGAATCGAACCCAGGGCCTCGTGCATGCGAGGCAAGCACTCTACCACTAAGCCACCTTCCCAGCCCTGAAATGTATATTTTTGAGTCCAGATATGTTAAAAGTGCCTTTAAACCACTTCTGGAGCATGCCTCTTGGGTGTCAATTTTGCAACCTGTTATAGTTCATTCATTGCATAGTTTCAAGTCATGCAACATTTTCCTAAGAAAATATACTTCTACCTAAGGAAAGATATATTATTATTACTTATCTAAATTGGCAAGCATTATAATTACTATAAAAGCTAGGTCTGATATAGTAATTATTAGACAATTATTCATTTGTGTGGGGTGTGTGTGTGTGTGTGTGTGTGTGTGTGTGTGTGTGTGTGTGTGTGTGCTTGAACTCATGGTGAACTCATGGACCTGGGCACTGTCCCTGAGATTTATTTTGCTCAAGACTATTGCTCTACCACTTGAGCCATAGCTCCATTTTTGTTGTTTGTGTGTGTGTGTGTGTGTGTGTGTGTGTGTGTGTTTGGTGGGTTTCTTTTTTTTAAGTGGTTGATTTGAGATAAGTGTCTCAGAGACTTTCTTGCCCAGGCTGGCTTTGAACCTCAGATCTCAGCCTCCTAAGCAGATATGAGCCCCCAGCACCTGGCTCCATTTGTCTGTTATTTATTAAGTGTGTACTAAGTACTAGCACGCTATTTAGAACACTAGAGATAAAAGCAGGACACAGGGAAAGTACAGTCCTCTCCCTTCAAGAGTTTATAGTTTATAGTTCAGTGGGGCATAAATAATTTATTGAAAGCTGATAGAATTAAAGATAGAATGGAAGCATGTAGTAGGCAGCATTAATGTAGACAAGGCCAAAGAAGGCCTCTAGGATAGTACAGAAGGCCTGACTCAGAAGACAACCAAAATAGATCCACATGACATATGCTGGTCTTGAGAAGAGTACTCAATATCTAGTAATTCCAGGTTGTTCAGTACTGTTAAGTATCATACTGGGGCCCTGTGGAGTTATAGTAACTAGCTATGGACTAAGTTACTATAGATTTGAAGAGTTTACAGAAACAGGAAGATAAAATTCTGCTCTGTCTTGTCTATAGTACTTTCTTCTAGCTACTTGATTCAGACATTTATCATTTCTTTTTTAAAAATTTTCTAAAGCTCCTTCAGTGGCTTTATCTTCATTATGCTCTCAAATCTTCCATCTTGAAAAAAATCAATTAGTTCTGATTTGACCCGATGTTCTTTCTAATTGATGAATGATTTTATTTTCTTATATAATGTCTTCAGACATGTAATCTGGACCTTATTATTCTCTGTTGCCCAGAATTATTTTTCTTCAGTTTTTATTTATTAGTTCATTCAACCCCCAGTACCACCCCCACAAAGCATCTATTTTCTTTCAGTTTCCATTCCATAGAAACTGTTGTTTTAAATGACTCCCTGACTGAATCTTTTTCTTCTATAAACCTTCTCCATTTTCTTTTTTGCGGCTCTGTTTTCTCCTGCTTCCCCTACTATCTCTCTGTTCTCTTCTCCATCTTCTTTCAGGATTTTGTTTCCTAATATATCCCAACTCTGGATGTACTCTAAACAATGAGAACCTTGGGCCAGATCCCTTCCAGTCCACTCAGCTATTCTTTGAAAAAAGGCTAAGAGGATGGTGCATGGAAAGGAAAATTGAGAAGGGCTGTCTTCAATAAAGGACCTAGCTGACGTAGGTAATCATCATTTTTCATGGTACCAAAAATTGCCCATTTAGATTGATTCAGGCTTGAGGTTTTTATTGTGAAAGGAACAGGAATTTGAGAATAATGTAAGATAGCAGCTAGACATCCATACTGAGTGGGAACAGAGGGGAGTCCTCTACAAGATTCATAGATTCAGAAGACAAAATAACGCATAGTGACTGGAAGACTTTGTTAAGTCCAACATTAGTGATGCAGCGTAAGGATTGAAACAAGGAGATGGATACAAGATAGATGTTGGAATGGAAGCAATAGAGTTTAAATTGAGGGATGAAAAACGTCTGCATATCATCCAGGTGACTTGTCAGTGGATTCCTAAAGTGAAATTGTAGGGAAGGCTGTTGGATTACGATTAAGGAAATCTTCAGGGGTGTTGAAATCCCTTAGAATCAGGCACATGCTTGGCTGGTACTGATCACAACAGTTCATGATGTAAATTTGTTTCATCTTGATTTGAGAGACCAATTCATCTTGTTCCTGCATAATCTGCTTCTTTATTAAACTTTCTAAACATTCTGAGAACTCTGTACTCTATACATGAGCTTAGGGTGATTCTGTGTATCATTAGATGAAACTAAATTCCAGATGGGCATTTAAGGTCTTCCATTAGTCAAACTATAATATCTACTTATATGAAATAGTATTAATGCCCTGTGTGACTCCTCCTCCCAGGCCAATCTCCTCTATCAAATAGATGCTTCCTTTCTTTGGATGCATGCTGGTTTCTCAGTCTACAGAACCTGTCTTTTTCTAGAGGGAAGTACGCATCCTTCCCTACAGCTCAGCTTGAGATCCCCTTCATTGAACGATCCTCCTTACCTACCTTAATCACTTAATCCCATCCTATTTCCCTTGGAGTTCTTTGGCATCTGTGTATACATTTATTCATGAAGCATTAAGCACTTGTTGTTTTTTTTTTTTGCTTATGTGACTATATTCACATGAAAGTATGTGAAGAAATATTTTGTATCTCTTGGTCTTTTGTATCTCTTGGCCACTTTTGTGGCCTCTGTTTTTGCTGTCTGGTGATATGAGCAGCACATATCAGATCATAATATCGTTACTGAATAATGAACTTTGGAAAGTGATTGGTTTTCTAAGTCTCACTTGCTTTAGAACTAATTGTACTTGAGTTGCTTATAGCTCACATGGCAATAAGCAACTAAAAACACATTCTGTGTGTGTGTGTGTGTGTGTGTGTGTATGTCCCAGTCCATCTTGGGGCTTGAACTCAGGGCCTGGGCACTATCCTGAGATATTTTTGCCTTGAGCAAAGTCACAGTTCTACTTTTAGCTTTTTCTTCTACCTGGGCTGGCTTCAAACACGATCATCAGATCTCATCCTCATGAGTAGCTAGGATTACAGGTGTGAGTCACCAGTGCCAGGGTAAAATATACTTTTTAAGAACAAATTTTCAGTCCTGTTGGGGAAGTAGGAATAGGCAAGCAGAGACTTCCTTGGTGCTGGGCAGGTAGTGGTGATGTTGAACGGAGGCCCTGCCTGGATTTTACTCCACTGAGCTCATGGAAGACTCACACTCTTTGCAGAGCCAGCTTGTGTGCTCTGACTGCGGCTGCATGGTCACCGAGGGGACCCTAACCACTACCTATACTGATGAAGGCAACCTCCGAGAAATAACATATTCTCAAAGGAAAATGAGCAAATTAGTTGCAGCCAACAACAAGGTCTTCACCGAGTGAGAGACCTTTGTCCAGTCCTTTAGATACCACCAACGTTTGAGGACACAGCAATTGCCAATTACCAAAAGGCATACAGGCACTCTGGCATCTGTGCTGCTGGGCTGCAGAAAAAGGAGGTGTTGGTGGGCTGCTGTGTTTTAATCACCTCCCGGCAGCATGACTGGCCCCTTACCATGAGAACCATTTGCACCCTGTTATATGCAGACCTGAATATGTTTTCCGGCACCTACATGCAGATAGTAGAGCTTCTGAGGTTAGATGTGCCATCTCTGTGCTTGGCAGACTTGGTGAAGACATACTGCAGCAGCTTCATCTATGCCAGCCAAATATGTGGAAGACAAAGACAAGATGCTGTCTCGAACACTGCAGCTGGGAGAGCTGGCCAATGAAACATGGCTGGTGACCGGTTGGCATCCTTTGCCTATCATCACTGCAGCTGCTTTTCTAGCATGGCAGTCTCTGCAGCCTTCACATTGGCTAATGTGTTCCCTTGCCCCATTTTGTAAACTGGCAAATGTGGGCCTGCCCTACCCTGCTGCTTCCCGCTTGCAGGAACTGCTGGCCGTGCTGCTGCAGATGGCTGAGCAGCTGGCCTGGTTGCAGATTCTGAAACTTGACAAGCTATCTGTGGTTAAGCACATTGATGACCTTCTCCAACACCAAAACCTGCTAATCTGCGTGGCCTTTCGAGATGGGACAGCAGAAGTGGAGTCCCAGGAGGAGCTTCAGGGACAAGGGCAAGAACAGGAAGAAGTGGGGGACAATTCCTTAGATGTGCCCAAAGGGAAGCGACCAGCCAGTCCTGCCCTTCTCCCACCCTGCATGTTGAAGCCCCCAAAACGGATCCATAGCACATCCCCTGTCTCCACAGTGACTGGAGATGAAAACATTTCTGTTAGTGAGATAGAGCAATACTTGCGGACCCCTCAGGAAGTAAGGGACTTTCAGAGAGCTCAAGCTGCTAGCTAGGCTGCCATGGGTATCCTTAACCCTCCTTGATGCTCTCCAGTTGGGGGTACTTTGTCTTGTTCAGAGCAGCATGATAATAGGCCTGTCATGGCACAGGAAGTAAGTGTATGTGGCCTTGAATATTGTCTTGTTTGAAGGAACCAAGGGGGTCCAGTCAGCTGGTCCTGAGGTCCTGGAGTAGGAGCTGGGAGGAACAAGTTACAAATGTTTTGCATTCTGTGGGGTGGCTTTTCCCCTAAAACTCTTATGGAAAATGCCAGACTCTCTCCTGCCTCAGTTTGAATTCTTCACTGATCTTGTGCAGCAGCTGGCATTCCCAGTGGTACCAACCTTCAGAGAAGTAGTAGCTGGGGAAATCTTGAGTCCGTGTCCATACTAGGCACCACACATGTGGTGCTATATGATCCTCTTATCTCATTAAGAAATGACTGTGGGTGGATTGCAGCTATAACTCAAAGAGCTTTGCAAAACTTTATTAAAACGAGAAGCATCTTCTAGAAAACATTCTATTGTATAAAACCCAAGCTTAAAAAAAAAGAACAAATTTTGTTTGTTTTGGCCGGTCATGGGGCCTGGGCACCGTCCCTCAGCTCTTCAGCTCAAGGCTAGTGCTCTAGCACTCGAGCCATAGCGCCATTTCTGGCTTTTTCTGCTTATGTGGTGCTGAGGAATTGAACTCAGGGCCTCATGCATGCAAGGCAAGCACTCTACCACTGAACCAACTTTCCAGCCCAAAAGAACAAATTTTTACATTCCCTTTTCTCTTAATGACCATGACAAAGCTGGAACTAGCCTTCAGTTAGGACTTGATGAAAGAATAAAATGTTGACACAGTTACTGTAATACATTTTGACAGTAGAGTCAGCAGATTTCCTAACATGTGGAAGAAGGGAAGATGGGAGAAAGGGAGAAAGATGAAAGGGGGAAAGAACGAGAGAACAACTTACGATTGAGAAAAAAGACCACAGGTTTCCTTCTGAAGGATTAAAACAAAGGCACTACCTAATTTGCAGGACTAGGGGCTCTGATCATATGAGAAAACAAGTTTATGGGGAGGGAAAATGCCAGAGGCTTAGTTGTAATTAAGTGTTTTCTGTATTAAGCTGATAAATCAAGATTTCAAGATCATTTTCCCCACCTTCACAATTCCCTTTTCCTATCTTGTGGATTTAGTTATGTTATTTCTAAATTCTCGTGGTTGCATGAGGACATTCTAAATGACTACTTGGACAGTGATTGCTTCTTTAAATTATTATTGAAACTGTACTTAGCTAATATATGATGGGAGGTTCCTCTCAGGAGTAGTAATTTGAGAAATTGCTATTCACTCTCTGATTCATACTCCTATGCAAATCCTAGTGGCAAGAAAACTAATAAAATATCCACACTTCAGGATCTCATTGCTAATGATCTAAACATATGTTATCTAAAACTTAAATAACTTAATCATAAACATTGCAAAAAACCTGTTATAACTTAGTGAAATATCATAATTAATTTGGTACTACCTGTGAAAGTAAAAAATAATTTGGTGTTGACTTCCCTCAAAACATGAGAAAAATGAAAAGAAAATGAAAGAAGCTTAGTAGTTGTTCAAAAGTCAGATTATTGAATAGGAAAAACACCCTGTAATCCTCACCAAGGTTTTTTATCATCTTAATGATTTTTTTCTCTCCTACTAAAGAGAGTGAAGAAAGCCTCAGAGTTTGCAGTTTCAAATGCATTTTGTGCCAGAAATTCTGATTTACCAGGAAGGTTTTGGAGCCAAATGATGGATTTGGAAACATCTGAGCAAATAAAGGAGTATGATGAAGTCTATACAGAAGGTAAGGGGATTTTTTCCTGTGATGTTAGCTGTTCTTAAGGCACAGTTCATAGTGCATTTCAAAGTATAGAATAGAAGCTTTTCTTATTTTTCTTGTTTTTAATTTTTGCTACTTTCTACATTTCCTGAACCTAAAGACCTACCTACATCTAGAGGCTGTAGAAGTAGTTAATTGATAGGGGTTGTATGAGATATGTCTTTAGCACATGTGGTGGCATGTTAATTTGATCTGATATTATGCTGATAATGTGACCTTTTATTTGTTAGGAAGAAACTCCAAAACTAGATTATTTCTACCTCACCCACAAACCTCTAGTTCATTGCTTTAGAATTTAGTATTTTAGTTACTGATTATCTGAGGAACTCTACCATTTAGAGAGTCAAAGGATCTAGAAGAACCAGCCAAGAAGACAATGAAGGAGAAACTACTGAGGGAATCACAGTAGGATATTCTGCAAGCCAGCTCCTATTTGGATTATTTACATTGCTGACAATTTTGTTTCGTCATTTATTCAACACATTTTTACTTAGTTCTTACTGTATACTATTTACTATTTTATGGACTGGAGGTACTGGATATGCACAGCAGTCAAGGCCCTTTCATGGAATATGCATTCTAGGTGGAGTTTAAAGAAAATGAAAAACAAATAGTCACGAATCATTCAAGTTTAGATCTGAATAGCAAGAATTCGGCTGAGCAGTGATTGAGGAAAGAGCTCTCAGAGGGAAAGGGGACATCAGACCTTATGTATGGAAAAACTTGCTCTCCATGAAGAACCAAAGGAAGATGCTGGAGGCTGCCACTTCACAGCAGACATAAGCTGGAGGGAGTCAACAGGAGATGTATCACATAGGGCATTATAAGAATCAGAATTTAGATTTTAGAAGTACAACAGCACATTAAAAACTATATGTGTGTATATACATATATATGTATATATGAAGATTGGCTTATGGGGAGAAAATAAGAGGAAAAAGGAACCAATTGGAGGCTATTGCAGGGGTCTAGATGAGCAGTGCTGGCACTTGGTCTCAGGTAGTTAGTTAAGTGGTGGTGGTCCTGGAGATAAACAAAGGGCCTTAATGCCCTGAATATAAATATTTCCCATTTTCCTCCCTGCCAACAGGATGTGTATCCCTAGAAGTTCAAAAGGTGTTTTGTTTTTTTTTAAATGTTTACTTACCCCCATTTCTTAGGCTTTCGGGACCATGAACCTCTCTATCCTGAAATAACCTATTTCAAGATACATTCCGAAAAACTAGTGACCCACACAGGATGTACTATATGGACAGTTTATGGTTTTCATTCATTTTTTCTGCTCTCATCAATTATGTTAATACTCTGCCATAACTTATGAGGAACATTCTTTGATGTATGTCATGTAGCCTGTACATCTGTCCTCTGACCCATCTGAAAGGGTTATTATAGTTTAACCTCCAAAAGAAATTTCCTTTCTTTGTTCTTATAGTCAGACTACTTCATAGTAAAACCTTACTTATTAGTGAATGACAATTACTAACCAAAGTATTTTATTATACACCTAAATGTTTTAATTACTGTATATAAGATTTGTTAAATAATTAACTTCCCCCTTTCTCTACCTTCCTCTGCAAGCCAGTAGTATTTGTTGCTAGGGTATTTGTAGTACTTAGTTCTCCTACAGTAGTCACCCCTTATTCCTAGGGGATATTTTCAAAGACAAACCCTCCAGTAGGTGCCTGAAGCCACAGATAGTATAAAACCCTATATAGACTTTTTCATACTTACATACCTATGATTAAGTTTAATTTATAAATGTGGCACAATCTAAGTGATTAACATTTAAAAATAGAACAGTTATACCTATATTCTATAGTAAAAAGGTATGTGCATGTGGTCTCTTTCTCTGAAAATGTTTTACAGTACTATACTTATCTTCTTTTAATAATGTGGGATGATACAGTGCGCACATGAGATTGGAAGCAAGATGAACAATAGCATTAGGCTGCGTTACCTAAGGGCCACTTGCACACAAGCACTGCAATATCATGATGGTCCATCTGATAAATAAGATGACAACTGGTGACTCACAGGCAGGTAGTGTGTCCAGTGAGGATACACTGGGATACAAAGGGATCATTCACATCCTAAGTGAGATGGAGCAGAAAAGCATAGGATTTTGTCATGCTGCTCAGAAGAGTGTACAATTTAAAACATGGGTTACTTTTGGAAATTTCCATTTAAGATATTTGGGCCTCAGTTGACCACATGTAACAAATCACAGCTAGGGGCAACTGTGACACTCTAATTTTGTTTTTCTTCTATTTTGTCTATATTAAATGCTTTGTGGCATCAGTTAATATATGGAAAAACCCCATGCTCTAAGAGCTGCGATATAGTGACATCAATAGTGATGAAGGTAATTCTAAAATAGATGTATCTCTTCCTTAAAATCACTATGCCCTACACATAAGAGCTATTTGATAATGATAAAAAGGAAGCTAATCCTCCATTTCAACGCTTACTATACTCTCCCTCCCTCATTCCTTTCTAGACACCTTGGCTTCATTGATATTCTTCTAACAATCTAGTATTTGGAAACAGTTTGCCGCCTTTGCATCTAGTTTCCCAGTTCCTGGCATAATATTTCTTGCTGTATTCAGATGGCGCTTTTTTTTTTTTACCTTTTTTACTCTTTTGCTCAAAATTCTCAGGCTTCTTTGACCATCCAAATCAAAACACTCAGCCAGACATCAGTGGCTCACACCTATAATCCTAGCTACTCAGGAGGCTGAGATCTGAGGATTGCAGTAAGAAGCTAGCTGGGACAGGAAAGTCCATCAAACTCTTATCTCCAATTAATCACAGAAAAAGCCAGAAATGGTGGTGTGGCTCAAGTGGTAGAGAGCTAGCCTTGAGTAAAAGGAGCTCAGGGACAGTGCCCAGGCCCAGAGTTCAAGCCCAGGACTGGCAAAAAAAAAACAAAACCTACAACTCCAGCCACAATTTCCTGTGCTCCTTTTCTTTTTCTCTTCTTGGTTTTTCTCTTATTTATTTATTGCCTGTCATCCCCAATAAGAACATAAGTATCACAGTGGTAAGGTTTACTTTTCTCGTTTTGTTCACTGCTATTTTACTAGCATCTACAACAGTAGTTGACATGATAGATGCCCAAGTAGTATTGAATGAATGAAAGCTGTGAATAAAGAAAGGCTCTGAAATATTTGAAAGATTTTTTTTTTGTTTTATCGATAGCTCAGGAGATGGTCAGTAACTGGTTAGATACCAAACTTAAACAAGAATTAGCAAGCGACGGAGAAGGAGATGCGGCACACACAATGTCCAGTATCACTCCTACGCCCGAAGCCAATGACTATTTGAAATATGACAAGTTTGATGGTAAGACACCATCTGATTTTTGTAAGTTTAAACATTCAATGAATATGCCTCAGAAGACTTTTAAATTGTTTTGAGTAGTAAATAATCATTGGACTTTGTTTTGCTTTATTAATGGCTTTAGTTTTTCTTTATGCTACATCCTCAGTAAATTCCTGATGTTTTATAATATTAAAGTATTCTACTATTGGTAACTTCTACTTCAATAATAGCAATTAAAAATACCTCTTGTCCAAATACCATTGAACGACCACTTTGGTAGAGACTACATTTAAGCATTCATAAATCATTTAAAAATTACAAAATGCTTTTTGTATCTTTATTAGTTTTCCCTTATAATGGAGGTCATTAGTTTTCTAAGTTTTTCCATTTTATGAAATCTGAATAGTTGAATAAGAGTCTCTCCAGTGCACTCCAGAGTCCGAAGTTTTTGTTTTCTGAATATAGGATGCAGCTTCACATGCATGAGTCAGATACCTTAGTGAGTCAATCTAATAGCAGTATTTCCCTTATTTTGGGACACTGCAAAATCTCCAGCTAAGGTAATCATGAAGTCATGAGCTCTGAAAGAAGAACCTCTTATTATCACCTGGTGTGATGTTCCCTTCTTACTCACCAAGGTAGAAATCCTTAATATGTAATTGGATCTCCGTCTGACACCTCCCAGGATAGAGAGCCTGTGTTCTGGGAGGGCCCATGGAGCCATTGCAAGGCTCAAAGCTTTATAGAATTCCCTCGTAGGAAAATTAGATTGTTCCCCCTCATTATTGAGGGAAACTATTTGAAACTATTGTCTTTTTCTCTCAAAAGCAATCTTTATATTTTGTGTGAATGATAATCATATGTCTAAATGCTCATGTATTTCATGTTTCTAGATCAAATAGCATCAGTACTCTCAAGAATTCTTTATACCATATGGTTTCTGGATCTTATCCTGGTTTCTGCCCTCTGGATATTTTCTAATTTTTTAATATCATTATTAAAGTGGGGTATTTCAGTATTTTTATATTTGTCTAAAGTAACTTTATAGTGGGCTGGGAAGGTGGCTCAGTGATAGAGCGCTTGCCTTGCATGCATGAGGCCCTGGGTTCGATTCCTCAGCACCACATAAGAAAAAAGAAAAAAGCCGGAAGTGGCGCTGTGGCTCAAGTGGTAGAGTGCTAGCCTTGAGCTGAAGAGCTGAGGGTCAGCGCCCAGGCCCAGAGTTCAGGCCTCACGACCCTACCCAAAAAAAATAGTAAACAACCCAAGCCGGGCACTGGTGGCTCATGCCTGTAATCCGAGCTACTCAGGAGGCTGAGATCTGAGGATCGCCGTTCAAAGCCAGCCCCGGCAGGAGAGACCGTGAGACTCCTATCTCCAGTAAACCACCAGAAAACCGGAAGTGGCGCTGTAGCTCAAGTGGTAGAGCACTCACCTTGAGCTGAAGAGCTGAGGGACAGCACCCAGGCCCAGAGTTCAAGCCCCATGACCGACAAAAAAAAAAAAAAAGAATAGTAACCAAAAGAGCTAGAGAGGCTATACTGATAGAGGAAAAAAATATACCTTAAGGTAAGTAATTGTGTTTAGAGACAAATAGTAAAGTTTAAAATGATAATTAAAAAAACACCTTAAATCCATGAAAGAACATAACAAGTAAAGGAGCCCAAAATAGATGAATTTAAAGCTGACAAAATTGAGGGACAAAATAGGCAATCAGCAATAACAGGTAGAGACTTCAATACCCTACCATAATGTATAGAATAACAACAACAGAAGAAGGATGATATTCAGTACTAATCATTAGAGAAATTCAAATTAAAAAGATAGTAAGTTACCACCAAATATCCACTAAAATGGCTTAAATTTGAAAAACAAATTATGCCGTTCCTTGGTGAAGATGTGGAGGAACTGGAACACTTCCACATTGTTAATGGTAATGAAAAATTATACAGCTGTGACCAAAAGTTTGATAGATTCCTAATAAACATATATATTGCATTGAGTTTGCAAGCATTTTTCAAGCAGAAGAAAACCTATGTTCATACAAAGGCTTGTACATCAATGTTCATAACAACTTTACTTTTAATAACCCAAATCTGGAAACACTCAAATATCCATGGACAAATTAATTAATTATCAAATTGTGATATATCTATATAGTGGAATACCGTATTACTCAGCAGTAAAAAACAGTATACTATCAACATGTATAAAAATAGATAAATCTCCAAACTAGTTAGGCACATAATGTATGATTTGATCTAGACACTGCAAACTATAGTGACAGAAGCAAGTCTCTGCTTACTTGGAACAGTGCAGAGGGCCTGAAAGAGGAAGAGATTACAGCTTAGCATGGGAACACTTGGAGAATTGACAGATATAGGCTCATTATCTTGATTACGGTGATGGTTTTATGGCATCCATATTTTAAATATATGTAATTTGTCATGTGTCAATTATACAGTTATACCACTATAAACATATTTTTAGAAGTAGAATTCTCAAGGTTGTAATATCTTCTAGATTTGACTGTGGACTAGTCTTTCTCTTGGGTGAGAACAGTTCCTGATGAGTGGAGCTTTTTCCTCTTATTTGAAGATAGAGATGGCTACACTCATTCAATTGGCTTCCTTCAATATTGATCTCTTCATTGAACATACACAGCTTTTTATTTTCATGATTTCTTATATAAATATGAAAATTATACTAAAATTAGCCTGGTTTTGTTTTTAATTCCCTTTCTTGTTGTTCTCTTACCTCCAGATCTATATGGCTATTTGGAGGAAGAAGAGGAAAGTACTACTGTTCAAAAATTTATAGACCATCTGCTCCATAAAGAAGTGGTGGATTCTGGGACATTGGAAGATCTTGGAATGAAGGAAAACCAAGACAAGAAGCAGCAGAAGGATCCTCGTCTTACCATGGAGATGAGACATAAGCAGGTGGGAGGGAAAAACAAAATTAAAATGGATAACAGGAAGCAGTCTTTGTGTAACACATTTAATAAGCTTAAATAAAGACTTAGGCTTTATTATGAAAAAGGATGCCATCTGTGGTTTGGTTAGGAAGAATAAAAATAAAATATAAGAACTTCAGAAGAAAAAAATAATTCCCATAAACTGAGGGTAGGAAACAATTTAAGAAGTAAACAAAATTAGAATAATTGATTTTGACCAATAGAGCACTGAACTAAACTTTATTAGTTTCAGTGTGGCACTTCCTGTTATAAATATGCAGATTGTATTTGCTTGAATTTGGTTTTTGAATTGTGACATTAATATATTATCATGAATATTCTGGTAAATATTATAAGGATCATTCTTTTCTAGACAACTGAAATTCTCTCATTTTGCGATTATAATTTGAAAAGGAGGACAGATCTGAATTAAATCTAGTTCAGCTGTTTGAATTAGAAAGCCATGTGGGAACTTTCCTTTCTCCAAAGGGAATAGTAGGTAATAGGAGAAAAGAATATTTCAATCTTTTGTAAAGAAGCTTTAGGACTTAGAATGACAGTCTTTGCCATGTGTCCAGAACCTAAGACTGAACTAAAATATTAATATCTACACATGTGTATACTGTCTTTTTAGAATACTGAATTTTTTAGTGCCAAATTTGAAAAATCATTAAACTAGTAGGTATGCCTTATCAGCACTGGGTATGTTAGAGAAATCAAAGTATTATCCTGGCTTGGTATTATATGAGGGAAGAAAGAGGTTCATTCAGATATATGGTGATTTTCTAATCACAGCTAGAGAGTAAGGTGAAGGTTAAATAGGGCTAAGTAGAAAGGAAAAGACTGTTTCTTAATTCATAGTTAGTCAAGCCTCTAAGGTATTATTGGGTTTGAAAAAAAAGTAAATGTGATATTCAGAAATACTGGCCCAGTTCATGTTTTTGGGTTTGAAATATAGTCTAGAAACACTGGCATATTGCATAGTAATAGAAATTAATAAAGCTGTGTTATTCCTTTAGGCAGTAAATCACTGTCTAGCCTTTACAATATAATCTACAAAAATAGCTGTAATCCTTTCTTAAATTATAATTAGAGTGCAGAACCTAAATAAAGCAAGCAATCATGTACATATTGTGCCATCTTATGGGTAGGAAATCATTTCTATATAAGAATATAGAAGTTGAAATCTGGCCCACCAGAGTCAGCTTTCCCATGATGAAGATCACCAGACTGTTACATATCTTCAGCTTACTTTCTTTTTTTTGGGGGGGAGGGGTGGGATCTGGTCGTGGGGCCTGAACTCTGGGCCTGGGCACTGTTCTTCAGCTCTTCAGCTCAAGGCTAGTGCTCTACCACTTGAGCCACAGCAACACCTCCGGCTTTTTCCTTTTTTTTTTCACTTTAAAAAAAAAAGAGTTATTGTGAAAATACTGTACAGAGGGGTTACAATTACATGGGCAAGATAATGAGTACATTTCTTATCAAGCATTGTAGCCTCCTCCTTTGTTTCCCCTTCCTATCCCATCCTCCCCCTATCCCCCCACCGAACCTTCTCCCCCACCAAAGTTGTAAAGTTTGTTTTCCACATAACGACTTTACTTCTCGTTGTTGCAGTGGGTCCACCTGTATCCCTATTTAAACGATTTGTTTTTTCCCTTCCCCTCCACAAATTATAACAACATCAAATACAGTGAAAGCAGGGGTTATACTGTGGGGGAGGGACATACAAAGCAACAAAGAAATAATCTTATAAATGTGTTAGAAACAATCTCATGAAAGAAAAAAACCCAGATGCTCCTCCGTAGATGAGCGGATCAAGAAAATGTGGTACGTATACATAATGGAATTCTATGCTGCCATCAGAAAGAATGACATTGCCCCATTTGTTAGGAAATGGAAAGACTTGGAAAAAATTATACTAAGTGAAGTAAGCCAGGCCCAAAGAAACATAGGTCCTATTGTTCCCTTATTTACAATATCTAGTATATGTCTGAGGCAAGCAGAAGAGGTCAGTTAAGTTGATGGTAGGGAAATGAACCCTAAGATATGTATTCAAATGTTTTTTTTCTTTCCGGCTTTTTTCTTTTTGCTTATGTGGTGCTGAGGAATTGAACCCAGAACCTCATGCATGCAAGGCAAGCGCTCTACCACTGAGCCACCTTCCAAGCCCCAGCTTACTTTCTGAGAAGCTTTCTATTGGCCTGTACCTAGTAAACAAATGAATCATCTCCATTCTACCAAAAAAAGTATGGTTTCTGGCCATAATATTTCAAACTATTGTAAACATTGTAAATTTCAAAGTGTGTTCTAAGATTTTGCATGTCCTTTCTGCTTGAAAGGTTGCATTTCATCCTTACTATATTCTAAGGTCAAAGAAAATCGTTTGAGACGTGAAAAGGAACTGGAGCGCCTAAGAACTGAAAGAGCCCTGAAAAAATCTGCTTTCTTGGAGGCTCAGTGTCTGGTGCAAGAAGAGAAGAGAAGGAAAGCTCTGAAGGCCAAGAAAGAGAAGGAGGAGATTCAAAAGGAGATGGTCAAGCTGCGGAGGGAGATACTTGACAGAAGACGCACTGTGGAAGAGGCATGGAAAATGTAAGCGAGCATGATGGTGGTGTAGAGTTTTGTCTGTTTAAGTAGTCATTTTGGAAATGCTGGAAAATTTGTCAACTGCACAGACTTTGCAAGTAACAAAACATAATAGAGAAACCACCCACTATTCTACCATCTTATTTTATTTTTCCATGTTTTCTCCTGGTCTTGGTCCCCTTACACACTTAATTAAAGCCATAATGTATATTTAATTTGTTATTCTTCTGTAATTTATACATTCCTGAAGTCTGTATATTACAATAGTGAGTTGCTATACAATAATTTATATAATGACTTCCTTCCCATACTGTTAAGAATTTAGGCCATGTTAGATTTTTTTTTAAACCAACATAGTATTGCAATGAGTGTTCTGAAGCTTAGAGTTCTTTCAGTTTTTTGAATTGTACTTTTAGGATAAATTGCTAGGAGTACAATTCTGAGTTAAATTGTATAGGTTTTTTTTGTCAGTCATGGGGCTTGAACTCAGGGCTTGGGTGATGTCCCAGAGCTGCTTTTGTGCTCAAGGTTTTAGCACACTACCACTTTGAGCTACAGCACCACTTCCTATATAAATTTTTTTAATTTTTTATTTATTTTTTGGTCAGTCGTGGGGCTTGAACTCTGGGCCTGGGTGCTGTCCCTCAGCTCTTCAGCTCAAAGCTAGTGCTCTACCACTTGAGCCACAGCCCCACTTCCAGCTTTTTCTGTTTATGGTGCTGAGGAACCGAACCCAAGGCCTCATGCATAGGAAGCAAGCACTCTACCACTGAGCCACCTTCCCAGTTTTTAATATACCTCTTGAAACATTGCCAAATTGCTTTCAAAATGGTTGGTATCCTTGACAGCAGGCCAGCTTATCACACTCTTCTCAGTATCATTGAGTATCATCACTTTCAGTATATTTAGTTTTTATAAGCACTGTATTGATTAGTTTCCATTTCTTTGCTGAACATGTTTTCTCATGCCTTCTGCATAGTTGGCAATTGTCTCTTGTCCTGTTGCTGCCTTATTTTCTGATCATCATATAGCAAGTTAACGTTGCCTTACTACCACTGATAAAGAAAAAGAATAGCTCACATAAGAGGAAAACAAATCATCCCCACCGTATTGTTCTCCATCCTTATGTAGAAAATGAGCTTCATAAGTGAAATAACTAGTGTATTTATTCTGAGAAATAGCACTGATTCATGAATTGCCAAAGTCTTGGAACAAAGTGAGTAGAATGTCTGAATATTCAAACTGAGAGGCCAAAAAGACCCATAAGATAATCCTCCCACACCTATCAGCCTACACAGCTTCTCCCCCCTGTGTTCTTGATTGCTCTCATTGTACCCAATTTAAAACAGCTCAGCAGTGGACGTGTGCTTCACTACTTCAAGTGCCAGACTCATGCCTCTTCCAGATGCCATTCCTTTCAAAAAGCAATCACCAATGTTTCAGTGAGTTCTTTCTAAGGTCAATCTTGCTTTTCAGATTGCTCCCCAGCCCTGGAAAAAGTAGGCTGACCTAAAATAAATTGTGAAAGCAAGTAACATTGGATGGTAGCAGGATGCTCTGTTCACTGCACTCAACAAATGTTCACTGACCAGTCGTTTCTTATAAAAGTTAAAATTTTACCCATGATTACAGTATGACAGGTAATATGTTCTACTTCTAGGAAGTTGAAATGACTTGAACTTCCCAAAACCAATTTGAAAATAAACAAGAGCCATAAAATTTTTTTATCTTTTGACTAAGGGAATTCTGTCCTAGGAAAATTTTCCTGCCAAAAAATGATCAGAAATCCAGAGATTTGTACATAAAGATAATTAAATAATGTATTAATAGTATTAGGAAATCATTAACTAATGGTTATACAATTAAACAGAAGTGGCATGGTTATCAGATTTATTTCTGGGTGTACATGTACTACCTTAGTTATGAGCAACTATTACCTTCCTAAAAATATGTCTTTTGTGATTTAAAAAAGTCAGCTCCATAATATTAGGACTGTTTTTCTTTAATATACACTGTCAACTGCCTGTAGTCATATAATATTCTTATGGAAATAAATAGTTTGGAAAAAGTTGGTAAAATTTGATGGTTGGTAGAGCTTTTTAACTTATTAGTAAGTTATCTTAAATCTACTTCACTGCATAGTTTCAAGTATTTTCAAGATAAAGGAAAAAGAAAAGCTTTAAACTAGAGAATCCACCTTAACTGAATAAAACAGATTAACATCACCAGGAGGAAGATGTAATTTGTATACCCCTGTATGAAAGATGAGAACGAATGAAACAGTATCTGTTTTCTTATAGCCTCTCAGTTTTAATTTCCACCACTGCAAAAAGATTAGGTGACTTGCCCAGGTTTTCCTAACTGGTTTGTGGCCAGAGCCTATATCTTGGCTTCCAATTAAATGCCATATTTTTACCACACCATTCATAGTGTATACTTGACACACATAGCTCTGTAATTAACTGCACTCCTATAAGAAGACAGCAGCTCTAGGCTTCCTTGAATTGGTGAGGGAAGGAGAGATGTCCAACATGAGGAAGATTGGATAGCTGGGTGAGGCAGGATGACCAGAGAGATGAGCAACGAAGTCATCAGGAGACTTGGATTATGGGACTAAAGGCTTTTTCTTTGTTGTCGTTGAATTATACTTACTTTTCCTTTTCAGCTATTTTAGAATCATTCTGTGTTCTTTTTTCTTCTTATACAATAACACTTGATTCTTCTGATTTTTTTGGTTCTATATACCTTATAAATGCCTTGTAAAAATCCCATACTTTTTTTTTGTCCTTAAGGACCGCTTTTCCCCTTCTTTCCTAATAAAAACTTTATATTATGTCATTAAAGAAAACAATATTTAACTCTCAAATTTTGATCAGAATATGGTTCAATATAAACTTAATAAAAATCATTTTCTAAAATACGTAGCGTTTTTTGTTTGTCAGAGTACTTAATAAAAATTGATTTCCTTTAATCTGTATTTTGTTGTTGTTGTTGTTGTTGTTGGTCGTGGGGCTTGAACTCTGGGCCTGGGCGCTGTCCCTCAGCTCTTCAGCTCAAGGTGAGCACTCTACCACTTTAGTTACAGCACCACTTCAGGTTTTCTGGTGATTTATTGGAGATAAAAGAGTTTCACGGACTTTCCTGCCCGGGCTGGCTTTGAGCCTCGATCCTCAGATCTCAGCCTCCTAAGTAGCTAGGATTACAGGCGTGAGCCACCAGCGCCCTGCTTAATCTATATTTTATAGAGTAATAAACTATGACTCCAAGAAAATAATCACTCTTCTGTGTAGTTTTAGAATCATATCTAAAAATGTGTGTTTTTTTTTGAAATTTCAGTATATATTCCACTATAGTAAGTTGTAATTACTCCTTGTTAAATCTATTATAACTATTTTTAAATTATTATTAATAGAGAGAAGAAAAATCAAGAAGAAAATTCTCCAGAAACAAGCATGTTTCAAAGTGCTCAGGTAATTCTGGATAAAGAAGAAGTGGCAAAAGAAAGAAAAAGGAAACTGAAAGAACTGTTAATCCAAACATACAAGGAAAATCACCAGGTGGGAGTAATAGCATCTCTTTCTTTCAGCTTTCTTAAATGACAAGAAATGCCATCAGCCATAGGCCAAAGTATACACTTGTTCGATATATCAAAAGTTCCTCATCCATAAGGGGAGAGAGAAAAAGAAAGAGGGTACATAATTGTGAAATAGAGTAGCAACCATGTATGAAGACAACATAGGAAATCCCAGTGATAGTGATTGATCAATTGGGAAATAGGGAGAGAGAATATAGTAGAGAAGGTTATTCTGAGCAAAATATAATCTATGCATGTATGAAATACTATGGAGACCCTTAGTGCAATTAGTACACACTAAAAGAAAATAAAAGAGTGACAGGAGAGTATAGCAGGCACTGTTAGGGGAGTGGGAGCCAGCAGGAGGAGTTGGATTAATAAGAAGGGTGAGGCCAGACACTGATGGCTCAGGCCTAGCTACTCTGAGGATTGCAGTTCAAAGCCAGCCCTGGCAGGAAAGTGCAGGAGAGAGACTCTTTATCCAATTAACCACTGGAAAATGAGAAGTGGTGCTGTGGCTCTGAGTGATAGAGCATTAGCCATGAGCAAAAGAGCTCAAGGACAGTGCTCAGGCCCTGAATTCAAGCCCCAAGACTGACAAAAATAAAAGGGGGTGATAGAACAGTGAAAAATTTTGAGATTGTTTGAAGAGTGAGATGGTGGTAAGAAAGGGTGATAGAAGGAATGAAGTTGACCGAGATACATGTGTGCAAATGTCATCCTTATCTGACCCATCCCACACAGCCTTGAGTCCCTTGTTGTGAGACTGTTCTCAAACAGTAGATATCCTAAGTGAACTCCTAGGAAATTGGGGCATCAAGTTAGGACTCCTTTCTAAATTATCCTGTTAAGAATTGCATCTAACAACTTGGTAACTGGCAGTTTTTGAACATTTAGTTCTGCTTTGATAATCTGAAAGACAGTTGTGTCTGGGTTATTCAGCAGGTACATGTACTAGTTATTTGTGTGTTGGTGGTACAGATCCTAAAGCAATGAAACACTTAAGTCTGTACAGTTCTTTCTAGTGTCTGCCTTTAATTTACCCTTTATTCCTTTCACTTTTTAATGAAAATAACTGACCATTGTTTTACCTTTATCTTTTTTATTGTAAATTTTATTGTAAAAGTGATGTACAGAGGGGTTACAGGTAATGAATACATTTTTTTTTTAAACAGGGTCATCCCCCTCCCTCATTTCTCCTACTTTTCCCTTCCCAACCTCCTTTTCCCCCCAGGTTGTAAACTTCATTTGCAACCTAGTGTCTAGTGAGTATCACTGTGAACTGAGTCTCCATTTGTCCCACCTGGCTATTTTTTTAATTGACAAATGACCATCCTCCTTGGGCTGTTTAAGCAGTTTTCCAACAAAGGGCAATTGATGAAGTATTAATTCAGGCTTGTAACATTTCATATAAAATGAGTTACTTGACAGATTTGTAAATCAGATGTTTAGGTAACAACTACCTACCTCAGGATCTTAGGCATTACAGAAATTAGGTGGTTAGTAGAATAAATATGTGAAAGGATTTACATAGTGAGAGAAAACAAAATGCTAAGCAGGTATTAAAGGAGCTATAAGTTAGGGATAAACTTATAAAGGTCTTGGAATCAATAACAGGAATTTGAATGTGATATGAATAACTAATATATGGTAGGAAAATAAAGTAGTTAAAGTGCTTTTTAAAAAGATAGAGGAAGAAATGTAATAAGAGGAAATGTTAAGAGATGGTATTAATGGTGACATTGATCAAGTTGAACAAACTAACATGTTGTATTGAAACTCCTTTGTAAAAATACTAAAAGATAATAAAAAATAACTAAAAGATAATAAAAAATACTAAAAGATAATAAAAAATGGAGTTAATGTGTCCTCCTATAATAACTACAAAGATTTCTAAAAGAAATGGGTTTCTAGGGGACATCTTGGGATGGCAAAAGGAAAAATGCCATTTTTTGTTGCTGAACCAATGAGAACTGAGTAAGACATGTGTTCCCTAAAGAGTTCATCTGTATGATAAGAAACCATATATATTTTAGGTGGAACTACTGGATATATATGTTGGACATATTCTGAACACATTACTTGTTTTTAAAAGAATGTGTCTGTATTTAAAAAAGAAAAATGACAGATTTTGAATAGATTATCTATACTTTGACACAGATTCTGCTTGATTTATAACTATACATTATTATTTTAAGCCTTTATTTTGAGATAATTTTTGGCATACTGAAAAGCTGCAAAAGTAGAGCAGAGAGTCCTTGAATATCCTTTCAGCATCTTTTTCCAATGTGCAAATCTTACATAAACATAGTATAATTATCAAAACTAGGAAATTACTGTTAGTACAGTACTATTAGATACCATTAATTAAATTATAGGCCCTATTAGAATAGCACCAGTTTTTTCCACTGATTCTCTTTCTGTTTCAGGATTCAATTCATAATTCTATATTGCATTTCAACATTATGTTTCCTGAATCTCCTCCTGTATGTCACAGTTCCTCCATCTTCCCTTATCTTTTAAGAGCTTGACATTTTCAAAGGAGAACTAGTCCTATATTTTTTGGAATGTCCTTGATTTTTTTTACCATTGTCCCCTATTTGAATTTTTGCTGTTTTGGTTTTTTTTGGCCAGTCCTGGAGCTTGAACTCAGGGCCTGGGCACTGTCCTTAATTAAGCCTCTTTTCTCAAGGCTAGTGCTCTCCCACTGGAGCCACAGTACTACTTCCAGGTTTTCCTGTATATGTGGTACTGAGGAATTGAACCCAGGGCTGCATGCATGCTAGGCAAGCACTCTACGGCTAAGACACATTCCCAGCCCTGCCTTGAATTTTTTTTTTTTTGGGGGGGGGTCCGGTCATGGGGCCTGAACTCTGGGCCTGGGCACTGTCCTTCAGCTCTTCAGCTCAAGGCTAGTGCTCTACCACTTGAGCCATAGCACCACTTCTGGCTTTTTTCTTTTTGCTGAGGAATTGAACCCAGGGCCTCAGGCATGCAAGGCAAGCGCTCTACCACTGAACCAATTTCCCAGCCCCCCCTGCCTTGAGTTTTTATGGTATGACTACCATAAGAAATGATACTGTGCCTTTCTGTATGTATCATATCAAGTAATGGCTAATCAAGTAATGGTTAAGATTGTGTCTGCTAGGTTTCTGTGTTCTAAGAATGCTATTTTCCTTGTCTTATGGGAGATACTATGAAACTTTGTAAATATTCATTTCTCCTTAGAAGCTCTTACACATTAGTTTTAGCATCCAGTGTGGGTTATGTCTACAGTTATTAACCTGGTATTTGTCTAATTTGATATTTACTTCATTTTTTTCTAGATTTGCTCATTTAAATTCTTGTAGAAGAAAGAACGGTCTGTTCTACATACATTTGTTGTTATAATTATGTATTCAGTATGAGCTCTCTGATTTTTTTTATCCTGTGGCTTATTATCTCATATTGTTGTTTACTTTGTTATTCAAATTGTTCAGCTTTGGCTATTGGGAAATATCGTCATCTGTTTTTGCTCTTTTAATATGCTTCCATCCTTTTTTCAGCTTTCCCCTTCTTTGTGGCACCACAAAATACTCTAGGCTCATCTTGTATTTTCCCTGCTGTAGTCCTGAACCAGCCACTTCTACATCATGGTTCCTTTTATTGAAGAAAGCACCTTGGAAAGCAAGATTGGTGTGCTCACTGCTTCTGGGGTGTCATTATTTTAGTCTTTGCAGAAGACAGAGTTAGGAAATATATGTATGTCTACTAACCCAGGCATGCATACACAGTCTGTTTTTCTATATGTGTACATTACATACATATTAAAATGCACGAGTTCCTGATCATACTTATAAGGTCAGTACAACATAGGACTGGAGTCATGTTACTCTCCTTTTCCTTATTTGGAACTTATCTTTGGAACCATCAGAATATATACTAAGCAATTGTGAATTCATAATGACACATGCAGTGCTAACCCAGCACCACATGTTTCGGTTTAGCGCTTCCTTCTTGCCCAGCTACAACTTCTTTCTCTGATAAAGAGAAGCCTGGCTCTCAGGATCTACATTCTATTTACTTGTTAGTGAGTCCTAACATACTATAAAAGGAGTTTCAAAACAACTAGTGCATATTACTATGGAAGCAGATACATTAACTAGAACACCAATATTTGTATAATTATTTTTTGTTTTAGCTGAAACATTATTTTCCTGTTACTTTTTGTTTTAGCCAAATATTGTTAGTTCCTTTCTTTCCTTCCCTTTTCTGTGTGATAATGTTTTTCATTTGGATTATGGGCAATATATCTCTAATTTTGAGTTTGTACTTGGTTATAACTGAGACATGGTAAACATCCACCTACCAGGCTCCTCACACTTTTTCATAGACTTGGCTGAAGATAGGACAGTCCTCTGGCAAATCCCAGTATAGTAGGCAGGCCCATCTGGGCTCATTATGTTGGTCCCAGTGCACATTGCCATCCTGGTTCTAAAGACGTCTGAAGCTACCCTTGGGTAATGAAATCTGGATAGTCAGCATCCTACATATGGCTGCAGGATGAAAGTGACTTGCTCTGAGTGGCTAGACAACTGGGAACTCTGTCTGCACCCTCAAAATGCTCCACTGGCCCAAGTCCAATGGAAATAAGCTGTGTTTGCAAGAATGTGTTTCTAGCTGTTCAGATTCCTTTAGTTCCTTGTAATTCATTGTGATTTGATTCTGGATTTTATTTGTCCCACCAAACTCTTAGTGTCACTTGCACCATATAATTTAATAGGGGTCTTCCTGAGAGAAATGATATACACTCTTACCAACACTCAAGTTCAGGTACAGCACACTTAATGCCTCCCTTCCTCCCCGTTTCATCGGTAGGACTGATCGTTATGTTTTGTTTTTGTGCAGAAACTTTCCACTTCCAGCCTATCCTATTTTCTCTTTGATCTTGCCATGAAATCTCTTGGGAAGATTCAGCCATCCCTGTGTCATTGCTAATTAGCA